TCCGTCGTTTACGTAATAACATACCACCAGTGGTTAGCATTCGAGGGACTAGGCCGCAGGTTTCACTTTGTTCACGGTCATGATATAGCATTGGATGTGAGCAGTTACGTGAACAGGCGATGGTTACCTTTCCAATCTTGATTTCCTGGCTCCAAAATACACAGTGGAAGTCTTGCCGGCGTTAGAAGGGTGAGTTTTGAATTTACATTCACCGAATTTTAATTTTATTTTTCATTTCATTGAACACGGAGATTTGGCAGAATGTTGGGCCTCTCATAAAAAACACATTAAGATTGACAAAAAGTTATACGTTTCGGCACCTATACATGTCATGTAAAGCTTACTAAAAATTAACTTAGAATTTGTGAAAAACTTGTTGAACATTTTTTCTTCGTCTGTCGAACCATTTTCATTTCAAAATTAATAAATGATATTTAGACTTCAATCTCTCTCTCTTGTATCCTTCCTTCGCTAAGATCGGAGATCGTCGGCACTGTGCGTTTGCCGAAGTTCAACAAATGACTTTCTCAGTATAGGTCGTTGTGGGTACTTAACTGTTAAGTAGATTTTGATGGGTTTTGTGAAGATTGCGTATCAAAAAAATATAGGATAAGTGTATGCAGCTGTGTTTTGGCACTATTGCTGATACGAGAACAGTTTGTTGCAATTTCATCTGGTTTGAAAATCATCATCATTTAATAATCGTTCTAAAGATCAAAAACTGCAAAATACTTGTTCAGATTTTAAACCTTTGCAATTGAGATACAGGCGCATGTTTTGTCTAAGTCGTCGAGATTCTTGGGGGAAAAAAGAAGATTAAAAAAAAAATCCAACAACTCCACCTCCTCAAGAAAAAGTTGTCAAATTCTGCAGGTGCACGTTTGTTCGAAATTTGAAAGGGCCATAAAACAAACACAATAGACTGGTTTACTATAACATAGTCACATTTATGCATGAATGTTTCTTTCCTGGAACCTAGTGATGAGTCATTTTATTAACCTGTTATTAATGAATGGACTACATATACTTACTTCAAACATTATACGTTGCTACGTCTGGCAATCCTCTTGCAATCTTTTAGGTTGTCAAGAACAACCATTGTTTAGAAATTATGCGTAACGTTGAATAAATCGGTCTTTATTATAGGTACATATTTCGTCGAAACTGACGAAATTCTTGGGGGTGGGGAAGAGGTAAGAAAACAAATTTTCTACAAAATAGAATCTCTGAACTCCATGCATGATCCCCTTAAAAAAAAAGTTGTCAGATTCTGCATGGTTCATTTCGGGTCTAAAAATATAAAAGGGTCATATACACACTTACGGGCACTAGTTTCTCTTGGGGACTCAAGATATGACACAGAACATAATGATATTTGTATTCTTGAAGCAACACCCCACCATTTGATGACATCCTACAATTCATCTTCATTATTTTGTCGGTTCGACTCCCCCTCCCCCTCCCCCTCCAGGTTGAAATATCGAGTATAAATTATATAAGTGTAAAGATAGACCTGTTTACTTATGTATTTCAATTTAGGCACAATTTACACCATAAACTCCAGTTACCAGCCATTTTATTCACCTACAGGCCGCGATTGGCTCAGTGGTAGAGCTTTGGTCTCGTAGGAGGTCCTGGGTTCGAATTCGCGCCCTTCGGTAAGGCATTAATCCCGTTACCAAGTCTCTCGGAGAGGACTTAAAGCCGTCGGTCCCTTGTTGCTTACGTACAAACATAATTATACATGCTTTCTTATCAGTCCGGTAAAACAATCATCATGGATGGCATCTCTATTGTTGAAATTCACTTTTCATACATTTGAGTTTGTAATGTCGGGCAAGCCTCTGGCAAGCTTTTTAGTTGTCAAGAGGAACTTTTGTTCAAAAATTAGACATAATAATTAGTAAACAGGTCCACTAAAAGTTAGTGTTTTGCGGTGAATATATTATCAGAATGAAGCATAATAATTATATTCCGTCTACAGCATCACCAAAGATGATTAACGTTTCTGCAACATTATACTATGTCAATGATCTTTGTTTTTCTTCCATTTCACGCCTTATTGTTTAATTGTTTATCATTCACAAATTCTTCCTTTCCTTTATCATGATTAAATATTTATTTATCAACTGGTTTTATTGTTTCGTCTTCGCTGCACCTTAGACTAAACATCAGATAACCTAAACAAGTACCCGAGACAAAACTATGTATTGCTTACTTTTTGGGTGTTGTAATTTAAAATTAATGAAAATGTATATGAAACTTCATCAGATAACCTTTGCGAGTCTCTCGAGACAATATTTATTGTGGAAATTAAGCTAGATATGCTCAATGTAAACATATTGCCTATGACTAATGAAAATCTGAAGCCAGATTAATGTACATAGAAGTAATAACTAGTATAGTGAGTACATTTTTTTTTATAGCATCACAATTTAAAAAAAAATTGTACAAAAAACATCAACAACAAATAATGAATTATCATAAACATTTTTTTCAGCAAAATATTCGAAATATAATTCAGAGAGGAAATATTTGTGTACATGCAATTAGAATCAATGATCAAGCTTGTATCTCTCTAGGCCTGTAAGAATGATAAGCGAAATGATATTGAGATCAGTAAAGGTCGTTTACTGAGTATAAAACCAGTAAAACATAATACCCTGAGCCGAAATCATCAAGTGCCGAAGCCCGCATATTTGTCTACACGTATTTCAAACACCTGCTCCTCCCCCGCTTTATAACGTAATTTATCACGCCCACTTTTTAAACATATTTAACAAAAATTATGTGCAGAGGACTATAGCTATAAAGATATACCATAAACACCGGGGCAGCGTTTCACTAGACCATCATAAGTACAATGTTCACCGACGGCCCATTGAATCTCGTGAATTGAATTTAACACGCTTCAGACTTCAATGAGATGTCGGTGAACTTGTTCCCATGACGGTTTTGTGAAACAACACCCAGGCCTAATTTTGTGTGAGATAAGAAGACAATTAAAAAAAAATAGAAACGATTAGAATTCCCATATATCCAAGTTCCAAACTATCATTGACTGAATACGTTTTTACAGTGGCTGCGTCGAAAACGTGGAACAATTATTAACGTCCTATTTTCTATCAATGAACAAAACTTTTCTTGCCACTTTATAAAGATACCTTCTTCCCTGAATGCCATATTCGCATTTTATTCGTCTAAGTCGGTTTTCTACAAATCTGTTTCGTTAGCGCTTTTTTTCTAGTACTTTAATTGTTTTAGCGCCAAACCGATGTATATTATTGTTTAATATGAAAAGGGTTGGATGAGGGTTGGAGAGCTTCTTTAATATTTTGAGAATTCAGTTTTAAACAAAATCTAGGCCACATTAGCCATTAATAACTATCGCATGATCTGGTTTGAGGAATTCATTTATAAAAATGACATTTGCCAGCATTTTTGGCGGAACCGTCTATTATAAATATCTGTAAACTATGCATGTGTAGAAGAGGTCTGTTGCACTTTTGAATTTTGTCTTGGGATAACATTATTCATGTTGGATAAATTCCAAGAAAACCAATCTTGCTTTCTTTTTCGATGTTTGTATTTACAATCTGTATGTCTTGAATAAAAACATATCAATTCATCATGAAATCAAACGTTAATTTTGATAAAGTAAAAATTCTTTACATCCTTGGCAAACTGCCAACAACCCTGCCTAGATACGAGGATTGTGCAGGTAATGTAAGCAGACAGTGTGTCCATAGCTGGGCTACATCTGAAGAAGAAAAAAAAAAAAGAGAAAAATAAAAGCAGAGAGATAACAACAAAAACACTTGCTATAAGAAAGTGTGCTGATCCCACGAAATACCCGCAGCCTTGCCCATAAGCCAGACTATACAAGTCCATACACAAACTACGCACAACAGTGTAGTAAGTGTAGTCAAGCACAGACAGAGCGTGAGAATTTCATTGTTGCATCATGCAGTTCTTGAATGGGGACAGACGGAAACGTCCATTCTAGCAGAGGGGTGATAGCTGCACGCTGTTATCATTTCCAAAGAGAACATGTTTATCTCTAACATTATGATTTCTATTTCATGCAAACAAAATCTTTAAAATAAGTATGAATTAGTTACATAAAATATGTCTATACTCCGTCGATAATACAAATCATCTGCTTCAATTGCCCCTTTTCAAAGTGGACTCGTCGGAGGCGGAGCTATGCAAATGAACCCGTGAACCCGTCAATGGAATGGGTGTAAATATCAACAAACCATAGTACGCACACAATAATACTACACATTTTTCGCCGGTAAAATTCCGCCGGTTTTCTCGCCCTGCTAGCAAAACAAAACATTCGCGCTCATAGAGAAGACGTATATTGATTTCGTATCCACGTTGCCGTAAAACTCTCTGAAGTTAATACAAGAACATTTTATCTGTTTATCTTTTCATTTTTGTGATGGTAGAGGATTCCTTTTTGAGTGAAATTGTACCGCCAACGAATTTGTGAGTTTTATTCATCCTTTCTTTGCTAGAAAAGACAACAACAATACGGAAAACATTTGGAGAGCAGTGCCGAGCAACAGAAAATTTATAGGTGAGAATGAGAGATTTAATGATAGTTTGTTTGTTTTGACAATATAGATATTTTTTTCTTGTATGTCGTTTCATAATATAAGCAAAGAGTGATATTATAATGAGGCACCGGGTTATTAAATTGATAATTATCAAAGCTTTTGGGCCCATAGTTGCAGTCATAATGAATAATCGCATAACGAAGAAATGTATTATTTGTTTAACTGTCTTTCGATGTCAATATGTTTCATATTCTTAGGTCTTCCTTCTATGTCATATGGCTTCAAACCAAGATTTATTAACTTGCAAATTGAAATCATTTCTTTATATCTTGTGATCCTAATTTGTGAATAGTTTGAACCATATGAAAGCCAGTATACTAATTACAATTATTTGAAGGCGAATTCGTAAAAATATATTGCAATATTACTATTTCTTTTTAAATTTCTATTTCTTATCAGGAGTTGGAATTGTGGAGGAGAGCTTTTGCCATGGCGGTGCTGTTTCAGGAAGCAGTGTATTTGACGGGAATATTTCTAATCTTCGGGACTATAGGAAAGTTGGAAATGACGGAAGGCGCAGGTAAGGTTTTTTTTATTCAAATATTAAAAATAATTTTTAATTCAATCTTCTGAAGATTACCTTTTACCTATTCATGATGATAATGCTTGCTTGTAATTAAATTATTTTTTGTTTTATATCTTTGATGGTACAGTAAAGAAGGATTAAAGAAACAAGATTGAAACGGCTGAAATTGGATAAAAAATAATATATATATTTTTTTTAATATGACCACCAAGAAAATCTAGCCACTTCACTTATTTTTTTGAAGAAGAATGGTTGATATAAAAGGCCTTTAAAGTAAATTAGTGGCTACGTAAGGATCAATTAAGATCAAGATATTACAAAAAACATGCGTGGGGAAGTATGGAAAATAATATTTACTCTCTTTGCCTTCTTTTCACATCTTCCTGATTTTTAAAACCACGTGGTTTTGTATCCTGGTTTGGTGAAGTTGGCGCGCAAAACTTACCCCCCCCCCCCCCCGGGTGGATACGTTGTCATGCCTTCCTTTTGAGCTTGACTTTCAAAACGAGAAGGTCGTCTTTGTATACAAACAATGCGAGCTGCCACATGCAAAGCGTGTCGTCTGCTTTTTCCACGAAGGCTCTTCGCGCGCGGCGCTCGTCATTGGTCGAGCTTGGCGCGCAAATGCATCGAAACGAAACTAGTCGAGATACGAGCGGGATACGAGTCCCAAATATGTATATGTGGTTTTACCCTGTCGTACCCGCGACTGAATAGCAAATACATACCATCCGGAAAAGTGCTTTGTTGATCGAAACCACAAGTATGTCTAGGCTTCTTTATGCGTGAGAAGGTTGAATGGGATAGTTGCATCATGCCTAGCTTTAGCGACACTAAACGACTGCGCATGCTTGTTGTAAAAAAGTTCGGCCAATACATAATCATGGAAAATGTTCTGCGACCTAATAGCCGCATGCCTCGTCCACGAGCCCTTTTATTGATTATGACCATTTCGTTTTCGATAATAGGCTTCATTTTACTATTTCCGATCTGTATCGATAGGCCTACACAATAGGTTATCATTAACCCCCAGATATCAATGGAATATTTCGCGCCCTTTTAAAGGTAGAGGAGTGAATTGAACCTGCACAAAAAAATGAAACAAATATTACAGAAAATACTCGACCTTATTGAAATAGTGATATTCCTTCTTATTCGTTTTGGAAGACGGGAAAGCGTCAGCAACATTAAATTATTGGGTGTTGTATCATGACTGTGATATATCATGTCCACTTGGTCAGCGCTAAAAAAATAGCCGACTCGATCTGACTAGTTCACTGCATATTCAGGTAAACTAAGTAAATGCGTGGACAGTTACGACATTATATTCGCCTATTCGTACTTGCGTAGGTGCCTCCTTAGACGAAATTAAGACGACGGTCGCCATGGTTACTGGTGATTAGGAGCTAATGATGAAGAAAAATAGCGCGAGACCTCGGAAAAATGTGTTATTACTCTGCACAATGAAGAACTATATACTAAATCTTTTCGTTTATTGTTTAGACGGTAATTAGAGAGAGAGAGAGAGAGGGGGGGGGGGGTGAAACGATAAGGAAACTTAGAATAATAGTATCAATAGAATGTGGCAGAATAAGAATATGAAAGAGCAAAAAGAGACAAAATAAGACTTATTTTGAGTTGTTCATAAGAGCAAAATTCTCTGCGAAGCCTCAAATGACCTTACATCTCAATAAGATATATATTTCAATAAAAGTATAACACAATAATTATGCTAAATATAGAATGATAGTCTCGATTCCTCCCTTTCATGGGATACAACTAAAAAGGTTAAAAAAGAAGGAAAAAAAGGAAAGTACGAATGTAAACAAACGATGTGGGTGTACGGTATAATCGCGGTGTCCCTTGATACTACGACTCGATGGCGCACGAAAAAAGCCTTAAAGTGATTTTCATAATAATCTTCTCAATGCTATAATAATTTTATTGTCAATGAATACATGGAAGGGAGGCCTCGGAGAGGAAGAATTGGAAAGGGGGTGGGGTGGTGGCAAAAAGAAATATATTCTTGATCAATCTTTCACGATGTGAACTGATTTCAGTTTGCAGGCCTGCATGACTTGTGTAAATGATTTGGTCGTCTGCGCAACGCCACACCTCGCATTTGCATGTGCGTCATACGTCCCGCATCTGAAGAAGTCTAGTGGGGAAAAAATACAATTACATTGTGTGCGCTTTGCATGATATCATTGTGTAAAAAGGAAGTGGCCTTGTTAAAGAATGTGGGCATAAAGGTTCATTCAGTCGGGTAGAAACATTGTATCCACATTAAACACCTTAATGTTAAATGCCAATGCAATTTAGGATTCTACACTCAGTTTTTTTTACACCGTAGTTGCTTGGAAAGGGATAAAACAAACATTGAAATTATACCATTAAAGTAAATTGTTACTAAAATATACACATTCACTATTATCAAGCACTGTCCTATAGACAAAACCCTGATGACCTTTAACTTCTCCTTTTATCAAAACCTTCATGGATGCTCGTTCTAGAAAAAGCAATTAACATTACAATAATGATTCGTGTGATGAAATTGGATTGCAGCCTGCATGGTCGACCTTCGTCATGGTAAATATTATGCTGACGAATTTTCGTCGCCCACTTCCCATCAGGCGTAGACGTAAACATTATAGAAGCTGGGGCCATACTCTAGAGACGATGTCTGATGTCTTAAGAGGTTGAGATGATGAAATGGGATGAGATGGGATGAGATAGAGAGGATGAGGTTGACGATGAGAGGGGAGGGAATAGGGGGGGGGGGGGAGAAAGACAGAAGGTTTAGGAGGGAGTACTAAGTAGGGAAGTGTGTCGATGCGTGTTGGTTTGGGTGTGTATGAGAGAGAGAGAGAGAGAGAGAGAGAGAGAGAGAGAGAGAGAGAGAGGGAGCCACAGAGAGAAGGGGGATGGGGTATTATTCACAACAGAAAGCAGACACACAAACAGAGAAACTTCGAGACAGATGGAGATAAACAATTTCCCATTGACGTACATACACTTAATGGCCATACGAATACACTCTGTCCAACATTAATCCTCCCACGCAAAACTGACACATCCCAAAACAAGATTATAATGCACGGCGGGAATAAAATATGTATATTTTTTTTAAACGGAAACTATAAAAACGGCTCATTTTCTTTCAAAGATAACACTGTTACTCATTACGTTATGAAGGCTTAGCTTGCTTCACATACTTAAGTAAGACAGGGAGGATTTATTTTTGTTGCATTGCATCGGATGTATTGTCACGAGGAATAATAACATATTGATGTTTTACTCGCTGACGTATGCACAATAATTCTTCACACGGGCAAAAATGCTTCAATCTTTGAAATCCCTAACAAATTTGCAACTTTTAGTCCCAAATAAAGAAAATTAAATAATGACGGGAAAGGGGACACAAGGGCGTTTTCCCCTTATTTATTTCGACTCTCAGACTGAAACTGGCGCCTCAAAGTTAATGCGGTATTGCTATCAGCCCACGCGTAATAAGCGGGTATACGAGCATGCCATTTGCCGGGTGCATGCATTAAGACTTTTCCGCATAATGAAGGTTTTCTCAGAAACGGTTGTATTAAAGGTCTATTTTTGTATACATGTAACATATACCAGTATCATTTTACATCACCAGCGTTTTACCCTGAAAGTTTGTTTACCTTTTATTACATCTTGATTTAGAGATCTCCCATGCAGAAAGCCTTTGATGGCCATTTTTTTAAATACTTTACTGTATTTTATTTTTTTTAGTTTAGTTAAGTTTATCTTTTTTAGCATTCTCTTCCCTAATAAAATCAAGCACATTCTCAGCCAAGATGTACGGTCTATCGTATGTCAACAGTCGATTTGAAATGCTTTTACTTGGTATTGAAGAACTTAATTCGTACAATTTAAATAAAGAATCATCGTCCCTATACACCAATGTATCTTTGGGAGCCGAGCCAGAAGCCATACGCATTTCTCGCTCCGTGATGTGCGTCACAATATAATTCACAAACATCGATATAATAATTATTATGATGCACACAAAGGGAGATTGATATAGAAAGAGAGAGAGAGAGAGAGAGAGAGAGAGAGAGCGAGAGAGAAAGAGAGAGAGAGAGAGAGAGAGAGAGAGAGAGAAGGGGAACGGGGGGGGGGGGTCGTTTGGGGAGATGAAAATGTTTGTGTATACAAATAGGGAGTAGGCGTAATGAGAATTACGTGATTGGCATATTTAGAGCCACGCAGATATTGAAATCGGGAGAACAAAAATGGGAAACAGTCTTCATAAAAAGTATTTGGTTGGTTCCATTATTTGTTCTTAAAATAAATGCAGTATTATTGTCAATGTGCAATCTTGTTTCAGCGCCTCCCAAGAGATAAAATAATAAACTAAGGCAATACCTTGGGTGATAAGACTATATCAAAAATGACACTTACAAGAGAAAAAACCCAAATAGGCCTATGTGTTGTTTGTAAAAAATGTATACAAAAATTAAAACCATGCAATAATTCGCATAATTAATGAAGTCACATTGAATTAATTATACGTAATGGGCAAGTCTAATCTATTTTGCCCCATGCTACCGACCAAATCCAATTTTTAGTATATTTTGATAAAAATGTATTAAATTAACAGCCACATAGGACTCCTATTTCACAAAACTTCTTGTTAATAACAAATTCTAAACTTCGATGACAAATTTGCTCTCAGCCAATCAAATGCCATGAATTCTGTAGCTTATAACAGTTTAATTTTAACTTGTTATTAATGACAAGTTTGATAAAGCAGGGCCCAAAAGTTGATGTCAATCTGTGTTTATAATTAAACAATTATTATCGGTAACAGATGGGGCATTTTTGTTTCCATGCATCAAAATTTAAGTTTCAACATTTCTTTTGTATGTATTTATAATTCATAATTTAATTGATACAGTGACAAGAAGGGGTGCTTCATCACACTGCCCCGATGAGAAACCTTACATGGAGTCCGGCCAGTGCACCCCCGAATGTAGCCCAGGCCTGTACGGTGATGACGTCACAAAGATGTGTGAAGCTTGCGACGAGTCGTGTAAAACTTGTCTTGGACGCGAGGACAGGTGCACGAGTTGCCGGGACCCGCTCTATTTGCTGGATAACAAGTAAGTCCTATATAAATGTATATTGATTATTTACTTTCGCAGAGAGAGAGAGAGAGAATTTAAATTCAATATCATTTGTCGATTTTTAATTTTTTTTTTAAATAATATTTTTTAAAAATATATATATATTTTTTAAAATTATTTTTATTACACTATTAACAAGTTACAATTGTTTACATTTTTCAATTTTGCAGCTTACAAATGACAGTTTCGAAATAAAGTCAAAAATGTTTGCACGTTTTATTTTAGCCAAATAAATTGCAAAGAATAATCATTAGAGCGCCCATCTTATCTTTTATCTGTCTTTTCCATCGTTCGAATTTACCTTTGCCAATTTTGTACTTACTAACGTCCTTGTAAAAAGAAAGGTATTTTCGTCCAGACTAGTACAATAGATTTTTTAAAACCTTTACTTTCATGGCGATTATCGAGGCAACTGATATTCTATGATTATTTTCTCAAATAAAAAGTTTAAGAGGCACTACTAAAAAAGCTGTAAAAGTTGTAGAATGAGGGATAATTACTATTTACATAACTTTCAATCACGTTTTTGACCCAGAATATTTCGTATCATTCTGTCCTTGAACTCAAAGTTTCTATTATGACGTAGGGCAATTAGTTTACCCCCAAACTTCCGCCGTCTGTTTTGTCCCACAACGCATGTTTGGATTTATGCCCCTGCAACAATAGAGTTTATGACCCAGTTATTACAAGAAATGAGATTGGACTGATCTATTTTAGGAGTTTGACCGCCAAGTGCACTCGATGACCCCCGGAGGTGTCGAGGCAACTTCCACAATCATGGTCTACCCCAAAAGGGTTTTCTCGATGAAAGAAAGGAGTTATATCGGTCAAAATCTTTTCAACTATATTTATTTTTAATGCGACAAATCTCCTCTATACCGTGCAATAGAGATGAGCCTTTCGGGTGGCGCCTCATTTTTAAATAATTTAAGATAACTTAATAAAAACAGAAGATATAAATATAATTGTTGATCTACTTAGAAAATTTGTTTCTGCCATAATGATGAAACGTTTGTTATATAAATAGAACAACTCATTATATAAGAAGTGTATTTTGTCATGATGGAAGTTTGTTGACACTTAAAGACGTCAATGTTCTGAAAATCTGAGGAAACAAGTTCTGAATTCAACCGTTAATAATTTCAAGACACTGTTGCATCATTATTTCCATCACGTGTCTGTCCACGAGCGAACGAAATATCCGACAAATAGAATTAGAAGCGACGATGACGTTGGTAGCCGAGAACAGCAACCTTAAATATTTTTTCATGTAATCGTATAGGCTGTACTTTAACATTAATGTTTATCAATATACCTAGTTTTGAAATAATGAATATCATTGCAATATATTGCATAATCATCGTTCGCGTGCAGTAATGCCAACAAGTGCGTCAATGAAGTTATGTAGTGAAGACAAATCTGTATTCTCAATTACCTTGTCAGAGGGAAATTACAAAAATGAACCATTTTTACCATACATTCATTCTTTCATTTATCCATTCATTCTATCTATCTATCTATCTGCTGTTCTTTTTGTCTTCTTTTTGTTCGTTGGTTGAAAGTTTGAAAATTTCGTCTAACTTGTACTTTGCGGCAAATTTGGTCAGACAACCCCTCTTTAAGTTTTTTTTTTTGCTGGTAGCGATTTAATTATTATGGGTCACTATTGTCGAGCTATTCTACATTATTGTTACAATATTCCCCCTTTTTAGATGTGAAGAGAACTGTGGTTCTCTGCTCTCCCGAGGACCAGCTCGTGGTCGCGTTCGATTAACCGGTGGTCGTAACGACTTCGAAGGCCTTGTCCAAGTCCTGCACGATGGCGTCTTTGGAACCATCTGTGACGATGTGTGGAATATGAATGCTGCCAGGGTGATTTGCCGGGAGCTCCAACTTGGTGAGTAGGCCAACCAAGCTAATTGATTTATTATGTCTATTTTTATTTCTATTATATATTTTCAAAAATGGTATGAGAGAGAGAGAGAGAGAGAGAGAGAGATGGATGGATGGAAAGGGAGGGGGTGCATGGAGAAAATGAGAATATTTTCTTTGACCGAGGATCAGCGTGGGGGGGGGGGGGGGGTGCACTGTACCCCTGTATCTACAATGTATACACTGACTAACAGCTAACAAGTTTTTTCCTTGCTTAGCATTTCATATCCGAGGGGATAAATTTGCATAAATATATTATTATGGTCGCGCAAAAAAAATTATTGTCTTTAAAGCTCCAGTGTATTGAGTCAATCTATCAATCAATATATTTACTTTTTCCTCAGGTGATGCCCTGGAAGCTACAAATGCTGCAGATGCTGGCTTTTCCCCCGTTTCTCTTCTAACCCCAATCCTGCTCGATGGAATCACTTGCCGGGGAGATGAGAGCAACATCCAATCTTGTAGTCATGGTAACTGGTACACCAGCGCATGCGGTCACTTTGAAGATGCAGGTATGTCATGATCACATGTTGATGTCATTTTTGCTTACATAATTCATAATCTGAAAAAAAGAAAGACTTTTAATCCAATTTTTACTTTTAAATTCATAACTTTCTTGTAAACATATTGGTAAACTGCAAAATAAAAATAAAATCAAACAGAAATAAATAGATCTAAATCAAATCAAATCAAATCAAATCAAATCAAATCAAATATTGTTGTTGTTGTTGTTTTCCTGTACAATTACCGGCATGCCAAATTGTCATTAATTTCCTATTTTTTAAATTATATTGCAGGAGTCCGTTGTTCAGGTCCAGATGTAACCCGTCTCTGCGTGAGCGAATGTGGTGACGGTTTCTACCAGGTTCCCGGAACCTTGGAATGCCAGCTTTGTGACGCCACTTGCAAAACCTGCTCGGAGCGCTCCGACAACTGCCAGACCTGCGACGCGCCGCGCTTTCTTCGCTCCAACCAATGCCTTGAGGACTGTGGATTCGCGTACTACGGCAATATTCGAACGCGCACCTGCCAGGCGTGCAGCCCGTACTGCAAGAACTGCATGGACGGCGATACGAATGATGTGTGCTCCAGCTGTTTGGATGGGACTCTTCTACAGAACGGGAGATGCGTGTCGTTTTGTACGGAGCCGCTGCTTTCGAAGCATCTACCGATAAGACTAGTCGATGGAGCGACGCCATTTGAAGGAAGAGTTGAGGTACGTTGCAATGATAATCAATTCCAGTTATGTTTCTGTTCATTTTGTATGCAATGTCATTGTATCATGGTTTTATTTGATGAAATAGAAACGTAGCAGACATGAACATCTCTATGGCCGGTCCCATTAATTGCAAATGATGTTTGTTGATTTTCCAAATATTAGGTTTACATCAATGGAGACTGGGGAACCGTATGCGATGATCAGTTTGAAATTCATGATGCAGAAGTCGTCTGCAGGCAGCTTGGTTTTGGAGAGGCTGTGGCTGCAGTTAGATCTCCAGGATTTGGCCCTGGCCAAGGTAATTATTACTAAGTTGTACTGTAGTTGGGACATCATTTATGAAGAATTAATTCCAGGTTTTAATTTAAATGTGTTAATTGTAGGGGAGATTACTTTCTGTCATATGTTATACTTGTGCTTGTGACTTGTGTTGTATGAAGTTTTGCTAGTGAAGCCTTTCTCTTGTTTCTCTTTTGTAATCATGGTTTAAAACTTGGCATTCAACCTAAGCAGAGTGTATAGATGTTTGAAAAGTGACTTCATAAGTTCATATACATGTATGTGATTATAGACCAAATAAACATTTGCCCTGAAATTATGATAATGTTGTGTGACAACAATAAAGTAGATGTATATTGTTGAAAACAAGAATAAGTAAATTTAATACCAATTTTTTTCTTCTGGTATTTTCTTTTGGTACAATTCAGGGATTGGGAAAGTTTACAATTACCTTTTTTCTTGCTGCTAAACATGAAAATATTCAAATTGAAGTATTTTTAGTATACATTCCAAGCTTTTAAAACTTTATGGCAACTTTTTATTACTTATAATTCATAGGTAAAATCTTGATGGATGACTTGAGGTGCAATGGTACAGAGAACGAGCTGATAAACTGTGCTCAAAGTCCCTTCAGTCAAAACAATTGTAACCATCACGAAGATGCTGGAGTCCAGTGCTCTGGAACATTATCGATTGGTAAGTTCAGAATTAGATTGTTATGTGTTTGTTTGATGATGATGATGATGATGATAATGATATGGAAGAGGAGGAGAACTTGAGAAGGATAAGGAGGATGAAGAGGAGGTTGATAATAATGATGGTAGTGGTGGTGATGATGATGATGGTAGTGGTGGTGTTGATGATAATGATCATGATAATGATGATGATGATGAAAAGGTTCATGATGATGATGATGATGATGTTGATTCACAGAATTTACATTACACCATAGTTCTGTTTACCGGTAAAAAAAAACATCTAAAGTTGATTGGATGCATGAATTGAAGGTAACATGTTTTATTGATGTGCTGATTTAAACTGGGTATTAATCATTAATTGTAATTGTAATAAATTGGGAGTTTTGCTTTACACTCAAGATATACCAATTGATGATGCTGCTGCTTATGCCCTATTTTTTTTATTCCTGGGTTGATGCAATGTGGGATTTTTAATCAATTTTTTGTAATGAATTCTTTGTTTGCATGGGATCGAAAAGACCCCAGGTTTGATGTGCTTGACTAACATGGGCAAGTGTGGAATATATACCATGCAAAAGTCAAATCCCCATTGCCAAGGAGCTTAAGCTTGAGCTTACCCACCAAATTACCCTTGTAATAAAAAATATCTCATCAGTGACTCCTCTCTATTCAATTTTGTTTTGGTGTCAAGACATGCTTTTCCCCAACTTTACTTAGTAAATGTTGCAATAAAACTGATGAGCAAATGAATGTGGTCATGATATTACCAACAAGCTTTGCAAATCCCTGGCATTATGTTTTCTTATCTGAATACAGTCATAGCTGAGAACAAGGTTCAGAATCTGTCATAATTGCTCCATTTCTTCTTTAATGAAGCCCTTTGACGTATATGGTTTAATATGTGGATTCTCTAAACTTATAAGCCAGTTTCTATTATTTGGCTTCATCTTTAAGTACCCAAAATAACTGTTTTGTGGATTTGAAGTGCCACTTATGAAATTGAAGTTGCATGATGACATGGTACACATTATGCACTTCCATTATTTTTAATCATTTTGTATATAATATTTTTTTTGGTACAAAATTTGACACCAAAACAAGTATCCATATTAAAGTTTCCATACTATTTTCTGTGTGCTGTTGATGTGCTAACTGCAAACACCCTTGCTTTTGTGCAGTTTTAAAATATGGCTCTTCCACAAGAACTATTGTGCACCCTGGTAAGTTTGTGTTTCCTTTTCATTTTCATTCTCTCATATTTTCCCCTTCTGGTATATCGGCTTTTACTGTAATTAACTCATGGTTCTGTATGCTTTATATACCTTCCAAGTGCATGCATTTGTAGCATGTTTTCATTTCTTTGATGCTTATCATAATACTACACATAAGTATATTTTCCTGCATGTATCATTCCTGCTCATTGCTGCAATTGAGAAGAAGAACAATGTATTATCTTATATAAAGATGAACTATGCATCATTTGATTTCAATGCACCACTTGTCCTTTATTATAACATAAATATGCACACACAAATTTATATCCTTTTAATATGTTCATGGGGAGTTGAAGTACTACTAATAGTAATACATGTAGTAGTAGAAGTAGAAGTAGAGGTAGTGGAAGTAGTAGTAGTAGTATTAGTAGTAGCACTGATGATGATGATAATCATAATTACAACAACAACAATAATAATAATAATAACAGGTTGGTGAAATAATTCTTAGACAACTCCCTTTCCAAATACCGAAACCCAGATGGCAAAGCTCATTCTAAAAAAAGATACTTGCTTGAAAGAGAGGGAGGTCAACCACGTTCCCAACTCTTTACTACTCTACATATGGTCTAACGGAGCAGAAAGTTAGAAAGGGTGCAATCTTTTGTTTGGAAACTTTAAATCAGACAGATATGTAGACCCTATAGGTATGCATGCATTCTTATAGAAAACCCTTCACAACTTGCTGCGAAATTTGACAGTTACACATGGGTAAATGGCTGTATAGGTGTGATATATTACTAGATTTAATAAAAAAAGAGGATATTTTTATATGAAGAATTCTTTTGTGACCTGGGCTTGGTCCAAATTGCGCTCGCAAGACGAATACCGGTAATTAAATTGCCCGCTGCATGCCATTCACTGTTGCCTTTCATGCGTACCATGCTTGGCAACAATCCAACATTTCTGCATGCCTGCATGGGCGTGTTTCCGCAACTATGAAATGGACTAAACGTTGGAATGCAGATCAATTGGGAATCAATACAGTTGGCATATAGTTATACTTTTTTCTTTTTTTTTTAAACCTCAAAATAAAGTTTAGGGGCAATCAAAACAGGATGAGTTATGAAACGGAATGTGTTGACAATACATTGAAACCATGCACCCCAGACTTCCTTAATTAGTTTCAAGTGTGTGATTTACAATAAGAATTCACTTCAGTTGGTACTGAAAAGGGAATTTCCCTGAATTCCCTCTAAATTGGCTTTTTCTTGTAATTTTAAAAGGCGGCAAAGTCTTGACGTTTCAACTTATATAAGCTTTGCTTAAATTAATATTTTATTTTTAAAAAGTAGAGCGACTCCAAACCAATGCTCTTAAAGAGTGTGTTTAATTTGAATTCATATTTTAACTTCGAATGAAATTCCATTACATTTTAGGAATTTAATTAGTTTAAAGTAAAATGTGACACAAATGATAGATGATATATTTCCTCCCATTCCTAATATTATTACTGGTAGTGATAACCCTATATTTACAATACAATAGGCTCCTTTGCTTGTTCCCATAACCTACATTTATATCCGACACTAACAAAAACCTGTCAAGATAATATTAGGGGCAACAAACTTTCCCCCAAGTCTGATTATTATTGGCAAAAGGGCGGAAGAGGGGAACAAAGGCTTTTGTAACACTTCACAGGAGGTATAGGTCCTCAGAGAAAGGGAGGGTGGGAACACAATACCATTTATTGTTTACAATGCATTCCAAGATATGTGGGAACTCACCCTAATGGTTAACCCATTAGCTATTGGCGGGAAATACATTCTTTTGTGTAGAACACTTTATCCAGGCTGCCGCTCAAATACCTCTCTTTAGCACAGCTTTGTGGTCTCGTGGTCTGCTCTTTGCTCACTTTCGCAGAAATTTGAAATCATAACCTAGCTATAGAAATTATACATAAAGAGACATAAAAATGTGTGTACATAAGTCAATGTGTCTGGATAATGCACTGTGTGATTTGTGGTGATTTGTACAAGTTACATTGATATTCAAGAAGTATGAAACAGATATTTCAAACCAAAAATCAGAAAAGTTGTATCAGGGCCATGTGGAGCATGTGGTGAAAAATATGGTGAAAAATTGTGACATTGTAATTTTTTGTTTTGAATACTGATGGCAAAATGATTAATGAATATGATATGTAAAAGGAGAATAAGGAAATGATGCAAGCTAGAACTTTATTTATTACACTTTAGAATTAAAATCTTATTTACCTTTTCTGTGGCTGTTATGTCCTGTTTCATTCTGAAAAAACTGCAAACTCATGTATCCAAACAGATCAATGAATGACGTAAAACTACTTCACATTTAGTCATTGTTTAGTACTCATAGTGAGTATTTATTTACTTATAGAATAGCATTGTCATGTTTCTCTTCATTAACTTTCACTTAAAACAGAATGTCTTTTCACAGACAGTTCTAGTCTAAAGAATACTTTTACTAAAATCGATACAATTTATGCGTCTTTTTGAGGAAAAGGAAGTTGCACTTTTAAAACGCCTTCAAAGAATTTGCAAGGATATGATTTGGAAGCCAACAAGGAAATCATCTTGTTTACTTCATTAGAAGTAGATACATACTCATATTAGGCCTGTACACATTTTTTTAATGCACCACTTTCTCATATGCACTTATCTCTGCTTAATAATCATTATATGTATTTTCTTATACAACAAATGTAAATAAAATAATGAAATTTATATTGATTCCAGCAAAAACTGAAATCAGTCTCCAGCAGAAATTTAAAAATTGAGATAGAGTTTACATGTTTAAAACAAGACAATAGTATAACATGGAAATTGAGGCACTTCAAGGCTGTGAGTCATTCATTATTCACAACGTTCAATGATCACAATATTCAGACTTTCTTTTTTATTGCAATATGCATGCAAGCAAAGCATGTACTGACAACCAGACTATTACTTATATCTTACGGCCCCTCCCCAAGATCCCCTCTTTGCCGGGAAGGAAAAATTCACATCTAGCATAGCATGATGTAGTAGGGTGCAATTTCTTAACTATTTTCTTGTCTGTGGGAATTTTTTTTGTCGGGTTCACTCGCAGTTCAATTTGAGTACACATATACATTCACACACTGAAAGTCACCTTCTGTCAATGTGATTGTGATGACTGGCAGTAGTAGTGAGGTCTGTGTTTGTATACAAAGCGTCCATTCGTATTCACATAGACTATTCCATTCATAATGAGGGGGCTCGCGCTATTGGATGATGAAATCACGGATGATGAAATGAAGACACACCTTTAATTTATTCAACTCCGTTGCAAAACCATAGTCTGTGGGGACGATGAATTATGTGTACAGAGTTCATAAGTGAATACAAAGAAAGAAATATCTTTGGAATGCTTTTACAGAGTACCGGTATACTTTTTTTTGTTTAGTTCAGCATTTTATCTGTTTATAATCATATTGTAATATAATAGATATATTATCATAAATCATTGCCCTTTCACACAATGATTAGGGTGTCATGTTTTGTATAGATATCTGGAAGTACTGTTAAAAAATGAAGATGTTATCATATGTTGACAGCAAAAAAAAAGAGAAAAAATAGAAATTTGATAGGTATTTGTGCTGCTTTGCTGCATAATTTTGCATTCTCTCTTATTTCTATTTTGTGTTGGATAAATTTGTGTTTATTTTTGAGATATGTTTTGTAATGCAAGGATGTCTTGTTTTGTCTCTTAGGGTGAGCTAGAGACAATAACATTGCCTTGTTTTTATGTACACTTGTTTTGATTTACACTTAAATATTTTTTTTAGATACAATTTGTTGTTTAATTCCAAACTGGTTTAAAGTTTGGTTCAAGTTAAATGATTTCAGATGATCAAATGCTAGTATAATTTCCTCTAATTGTGTTATGAAAACAAAAAATTAAGTTTACAAATAAGTGAAGGTATTTTTCTATACCATTAACATTCAGCTTTGATTCCTATTTATTGCAAATCATAGGTTTTTATAATTCTGTACCTTATATTTATACATTCCGTCTATTCATAAAAAGTGCAAAAATGCAAAAGTATGCAGCAAAGCAACACAAATACCTATCAAATTTCTATTTTTTCTCCTTTTTTTCTGTCACCATATGATAATTTCTTCATTTTTGTAATTGCAAATCATAGGTTTTTATAATTCTGTACCAGACATTTACATTCTGTTTGTTCAGAACTAGAAGGGCAATAGACAATTAACTGAATTATTCATACAATAGATCCATGTGAAGTGGAAATGGGACGGAAATGTAGCACATGAAGTGGAAATGGAATGAAAGAAACAAGGTGTGGCAATGGAGGTCATGAGTTGAAATGTAAATGAGATTTAAAAGAGATGTAAATCATAGAATATAGAAAGAAAAAGGTATAGCCATCAAATGGAAAGTGAAAATCAAAATATGCTACAAAATATAACCATTACATTTGTTTTCATTCTTTTTACGTCAACCCCTTTTTAGGTGCAACAGGTGCGTGTGTAGACAGCTGTGAGGGGGGATACTACGCCAGTGGCCCACAATGCCTTTCGTGTGACGCAAACTGTCTAGACTGTGCTGATGCCTCGAACCTATGCACGGCTTGTAAAGCGCCCTCTTTCCTTCAGGTAAGGCAAACTTCCGTCGTGAAATACTTCTTTGTAGGTTGTTCAAAATGCACAATATATAACAGTTTGCCATTAAATTATAATCTGTTCTATAAATTACACGTGAATAAATATTTGAAAGCCTTTATCTAGTTTAGTCACCTGTTAGCCTCATTTTGTGTATTAATTAACTTTTTCTCAATATCTCACAGGATTTTGACTGAAAATGTCTCAAATGAATCCTAAATACTGTATTTCACAAAAATTTCACATAGCAATGATTGTTGGTGTGTATGGAGATTTCTTTATTTTCAATCCATGACATTCTCTTTGAAAACTATTGACATTGTGGATCAGTGATTGAATATTCCCCCCTTAACACTTGGCCATATTACATGTGATTAAAGGTCATCCATCCACTCAACTCTGTGCGACCTTTAAAAGTTGAATATATAGGAAGGTAATATTTACAAACTGAGGATGCCTTTTCTTTCATATCTCTATATTTACATGTATGTATTAATTAATTTATTTAATCATGGTATAATACAAAACACGATCAGCATTTCTAAACATATGACCATGATCTACATGAAAACAACAGATGGATTGGAAATATTACCTCTCTCTCCTACACCATACAAACAAACAATTAATCAAGGAACAGCTGATGACATAGACAGCAATTACGATAGTGGGTGGGTAGTAGACAAAATCAATGCAGCCATATGTCGAGTTTGCATTGAATTAAGTCTTTCGCTGTCGAATGATCAATCTGATATGAGACTGCAGTGGAAAAGAAGCTTATATGGTACTGAGTGGGTTAAGTAGGGAATGTTTGAAGCCATCTGTCATCTTTCGTTCAAGGGTCTGTGGTAAAGTACGTCGGCAGTTTCCGGGAAATTGAGAGGATATAGACGTGTTTGTCGACAAATATTGCAAGGAATACCGTAGTTGTCACCAATGCCCCAATCTAGGTGTTTTTGGGGGACAATTATTGACTGAAATATCTGTTGCCAACGCCCAAAATGCCAGACAAACTTTAGGAGCTGGACGTCATAACTTTCATCAAATCCCAGTAATTTGTTTTTGAAGTATATATTGTGAGAAAAATACAGTTGAATAATAGAAGCATCAATTAACCTGGGAAGCTGGATTTGATGATTAGATACCAGAAATAGGGAATTTATCGGAAAGGAGGAAATATCATTGTTGAGAAATGCAGAATTTTTGTGTGAAACAATCGTTAACACATAAAATGGTATTTCTTTATCTCTCTCTCTCTCTCTCTCTCTCTCTCTCTCTCTCTCTCATTCTCTGTCTTCCCTTCCCCTGCCTGCCCAGTATTCTAGGTACTTTTGCTCAAAGCACAAGATATGCTGATTTTTCTGATTGGTTCGAAACTCCTCATTCTAATAATGTTTTTTTGTAACTATCTATTCCGTCAACCAACTGATATTCAAATCTAAAGCAGCTACGACCTTTCCTCTCCTCCACAGGGTTCATCCTGCATCAGCGAATGCGGCGTCGGTCAGTTTGGCAACACCTTGACCTCTCGATGCGAGGCATGTGACAGAGATGTCTGTGATTCTTGTGCTGATGGTGATAGGAGCGACATCTGTACGTCTTGCCCACAAGGAAGATACATGAAGGTAATGGTCACATCACTCATGCAGAAACTTTTATGCCCTCTAGGTCAGCTAGAGTAATTAAAATTGTAGTAATGAGAAAATCAATAGCTTAAAGCCCATCTGCATAATAGTTTGGCCAGGAGGGATTAGACCTCCCTGCATGGTCACTGCCAGGTGATCTCATCAAATCTCTATTAACATAGAAAAAGGGGACCATGGGGTATCGCGCTTAGGTATTGTTGGCTATACAGAGGGCGCAAGTAGCTACAAGAAGTGCAGTCCCGCTTTAAGAAAAGAAAAAATGCTTGCTTCAAGCAGATTAACCCTGACAGTGGTTTGGTACAGTCTTTCACAGAGGATCTGCATAGATCGTCTCTTTGGAGCCTGAAGGACATTAGCTCTGTTGTAAGTACACAAGTAAACAGACTTTTGGCTCTAAACAGACAAAATGATAGGTTGCAGGACAAATAGCTGAACCAAATTTAACTTTAAATTAACTTAGTTGAATCCTAGGCCAGAGATAACTTGGTCTGGAGTATTTTGAATCACATGTTTTACCAAAATCAACCTTGTCCAACAGGGTAGATGAAAGATGGTTGACTTTTCTTACATCATCATCATTATTAAGCAAAGCCTATTTAAAATGGCACTTAATAGTGATGTGATAATAATAGTTGTTTAGGATACTGGATACTTATTTGAAAATCACAGAGTAAAGATTTTGATTGGGGCTGCAAACATTAAAGGAGTATCAAACTTTAGTACCATAACCTTTCACCTCTTATAATTAATGACGCAACTATTGAATTGTTTTAATCCCCTTTAGGACTCAGAATGTGTATTAAGCTGTGGCCCTGACAAGTTCCTTCAAGACAATACGTGTGTGGACGACTGTGGCATCGGAAATTATTCCAACCCTAACATGTTTGCCTGCGAACCATGTGAGGCTCAGTGTCTGTCCTGCGGCTATGTTGATACAACGAATGTCCAGTGTATCACTTGCAAGCCCCCAAAGGTAGGCTAGTAGATTCAGTCTTTTTGGAGAATGGAACATATTTTACAAATATTAACTGCTTTGAGGGGTAATAGTTAAAAGTGTCACCCTAATTTGATCTCAGACGGTGCTATGCGTGTTAAACAGGCTTTCACTATAATCATTCTTGAATGACTAGTGTATAATAGTAGCACTTTAAGAGATATATCTCCTTAAATTGCAATTCATGACAGCGATTACATATTGTAATATAACCAACTTGTCGCTTTCTCCAGTGGTAGAATTTAACTTGATGCAGATTATTGTATTCGTAAAAATGCTTTTATTAGATTTTAGGAATAAAGTATATTTGTACCCCCCCAAAAGTAGACTGTGAAAAATCAATGAAATAAATCTTATTTTATATCAGATTTTAGACACCACTTCTGGAGACTGTGTTGTCCAATGTCCAGCTGGTCAGTTTGCTTCCATCATAGACCCGTCTTCCATCATGCCCGGTCAAACTATTCGTCTGGTCGGGGGACATAGCCACCTGCAAGGAAGAGTAGAGGTCAGTTTTCATGATTGGCATATTTTGTAAAATTGTAAAATATTATCTGAGCTTTCACTTGCCATGCTGCAACTTTGTTGGCAGACTTTTACTGAAGAAAGCTTAACAAAAATGGGGATTTTTTAAATTTTAAAAAAATATTTTTTATACTGATTTCAGAAAAAGAATGATTTATCAACATTATATCATCACTGAGATGAACTTCTTCAGTGATTTAAGAATAAAAAGGTGTATGGGTTTTGACAAAATGATAAGCAATAAATGAAAACAAACATGTTATTTTCTGCAGTTCATATTTGAAGCCATGGATACATAGAAGCCATGAACATTTTAAAGCCTTACACTATATTGTATGGTTTAACATTTTCATTAAAAATATTATAAGCCAAATTGTGTATCAATGTTTTTTGTTTTTTTCTGACACCTTTTAACTGCACCACCAAATCGATTCCAAACAAAACTGATTAGATGTAATGTAATTCATTTTCCTCAGTCTGTTGTAGGTCTGATGTTGGTCTTGTCGATGTTACTAAGGTATTATGCAGTAAAACGGATTTACATCGCTGCAAACAAGTTCAGATTTTGATGTGAAGGATGAGAATTTCTCAATATTGATGAAGGATTTTTTAATAATTATTTCATTTGCTCATCAGGTGCTTCATGATAACCAATGGGGAACTATCTGCGGTGACTTCTTTGACAAGAATGCAGCCAATATTACCTGCCAGAGTCTAGGACTAGGTGAGTAGCCTTAGCAAAGGAATGGTGATGATAGAGATTGGTTGACAGGAGTAAGAATGATGAGGATGAGGGGGTGGGGGGGGGGGAGGGTTTTGAAGGCAGGATGACAGTTATGATTGATGTCATGATAAAGATGACGGTGTTGATTGACTTGGCGAGTATGATAATTTGATGGTGCGGATAATTTGATAATGACTACGAAGATGATGGTAATGAGAATTATGATTATGAGAACTATGCTGCTGCGGCTAATGATGATAGTGATGATGATGATGGTAATGATGATGGCGGTAATGGTGGTGATGAGCATCAGGGTGATTAAGGTTGAGATGGGGGCTAGGATGATGATAATAGAAATGAGGATCTGATCGTTGATTGGGATGAGTGTTATGCAGATAGAAATAAAGATGCCATTAAAAATGAAAACAGAATCAATAATGGTATAGAAATGTATAGAATGACGTAAAATGCAAACAAAAGTGCCCAATAAATACAATGTCCTTCATTAATTTAATTATTTAGGAAATGCTGTAGGCTTACTGAAGGTTGGACCAGGATCAGGAATACCACCCAGTGATGGTTTGATCTGGCTTGATAATCTTCTCTGTGATGGCACTGAGAACAGACTTGAAGATTGCCTCCATACTGAATGGGGCAAGCATAACTGTGATCACGACCAAGATGCAGCTATACAATGCTCTGGTAAGCTTGTGTGAACTCATAATCCCTTAATGTAGGATTTCTTTTCGGTTAAAGCGGGACTGCACTACTTGTAGCTAGTTGCGCCCTCTTTAAAGCAAACAATGCCTTAGTGGTACCCGTTGGTCCCCCATGATCCCCTTTTTCTTATGTTAAGTGAGAGCTGGTTTGATGAAATAACCACCTGTTAGTGACCATGCAGGGAGTTCTAATCCCTCCTGGCTAAACTAGTGCAGACAAGCTTTAAATAAAATGTATGGCTTACCTTGCTTTTTTATCTGTCAAATAGGAATTACATGTATAGTTATTGAGAATTTTCAGTTATTATGTGATAGTTTTTATTTCTTCATTTGTTTTCAGATTTTTATTTAATTTAAAAGATGAAAAAGTTTCTGGTTGTGGGATGCACATTTTGCTCATGTTGAATACTGTTAGAATTGGGAGGTCTGAACCAGTCAGTAAACTATATTGCCCTTTGGCTTAATTCAGCAACTCTCTTTACGTCGTTTTTCTGTTGAATGAAATAGCCATAGATACTGTAGGAACTTGTTCAAAAGCATCAAACAGCTCTTTAAGTATTCTGTATAAAAACACATCAACGAATCAACAAAGTAAAGAAGAAGAAGAAGAAGAAGAAGAAGAAGACATCTTTTGTCATCAGTAAAATATATAACTTTACAGGAAATTCTGGTTACTGATGTTTTTTTTACATCACCTTGAAATGATATACTTTGGTCCTCTATTCCTAACAGGTCCTGGCCTTCGAGAGTGCACGTCGGAATGCCCTCTAGGCTTCTACACCAGCCAATCGGACCGGTCCTGCCAGCCCTGTCGGGTCCACTGCCAGACTTGTCAGCAGGCCATTTCGTCAGACTACTCCTGCAGCGCCTGCAAGCCAGGCACCCATCTCCTTGGAATGGACTGTGTGGAGGACTGTGGGCCAGGCCACTTCACCAGTGGTGGGGTGTGCGTCCCGTGCAGCGATAACTGCGTTTCCTGTGAAGGGGATTCGACGCACTGCACAAGCTGTGCCGGCTCTAAGTTCTTGGAAGGTAAGAACCTCTTTGGCACTTCTTAAGTGCCCACTCCTAGATGACCAATGCTGCCTGGAAGACCTAGTGGCAGCAAATGAGAAGGCGCTCTTCAGTGTGCAAAAGCCTGGCAGATTATTTGAGCACAGAGAATGGACACGAAAGAAGACTTGTTAAACACTGCAGAATATGTGAAATCGTAGCATACTATATCCTACATGAAATCTCTCTATACAATATTGAAGTAGATATATAATGACTGTTGCATATGTTGAGAACCCAAAGGTTATTGACTCTTTGTTAAATGTTATAATTTTCTGACGACCCCTTCCGGCTCACAAGGCCTTCTCAAAGATCTCTTTTGGCCCTTGTAGGCTTCATCTTGTGCAGAATTATGGACTATTGCTGTTCTACTGTTCACAACTCTTATCATTCAGTTTTGAATAACTTATGCCAGTTTGCTTGGGCCCATTTTCTGGTTAATTTGGTAAAACCAAATGGTATCCATGTTGGTAGAACCAAGGTTCTTCTATGTAAACCAGCAAAGCTTACATGGACATGGATAAACATCTAATCTTCAAGTATCAAGTATCAAGCTTATATTTGTCTTCAAGAAATGAAATGTAACAAAATATAATAGATTATAATCATAAAAGTACAATGTAGAATAAAGAAAGACTAGGAGACCTTGGTTGAAGCACAGCTTGTTAAGTTAAGGCCCCCTCATATGATGTGACAAAGATAACTGATTCATGAACAACAAATAATATATGGAATATATAAAGTTATTTACAAAATATACTCAGAAAACAACTACCCAAGTAGTAGGTCCATGACCACAACAAGTTTACCTGAAGATGCGCACATCCCCATCACAAATGGCGAGCTAACAAACTCACTGTGCGAGTGAAAATAAATCTTAACATCTTTGGCTAATGCATTTATGTCTTCATCAGGAACCACCTGTGTAGATACCTGCAATGACTACAAGCTTGAGAAGACCAATGTTATCCGGCTGGTAGGAGGCTCCACCCCTCTGGAAGGTCGTGTAGAGGTCAAAGTGGGCGGTGTCTACGGGACGGTGTGTGATGACGAGTGGGACATTCTGGATGCTCAGGTTGTCTGCAGGCAGCTTGGACTGGGAGTAGCACTAGAGGCCAGCATTGAAGCAAAGTAAGATTATGATGATACCGTCATTTGCTTGCTGTGTTGGGTCAAAGGAGATTTTATCAGTGTTAATAATAATAAAAATAATTATAGATATTATGCGGCAAAGCTGCGGGAGTGTTTTCAATGACGACATAAAGTGGATTATGCTTCACGTACTTCAAGAATTCTCTTTAAAATTAGCATGTAGTCAAATCCAAACTTGTATCAAACCTGTTGACTACTGAATTCTGTTCGTTCCATTCAAAAATTCAACCAGGGATCCTCTGGTTTATAAAGATTAGTCCTTTAGCTTATTTGTTCTTTTTTTTCATTGACTTGTAGGTTTGGTTCTGGACAGGACATCATAGCTCTGGACAACCTTGCCTGTACCGGTCAAGAGACCAACCTCCTTGCCTGTCCACATGCTCCAGAAAATGACTGCACCCATAGAGAAGATGCGGGTAAGTTACCGGTATTTATTTTTTTAATGAATAAAAGAGCAAGTATAATATTGTTACAGATAAATTACTTTTGTGTTGCATCTTTTGAAAATGGTGCATTTCTGATTGAACAGTGAAATAAAAATTGTCTGCCAAAAGGCTTCTAAATATCTGTAGCACAGTTTGTTTGTGATACACAAACCCCTATACATTTTAAAACTCGAGAACTTTTTAATTGGCAGCTTTTATTTGTAAGCTGATCACAGGTCTCATGTAGAGAAGAAAGAACATTCTTTATCCTTATAGGCAGGTTCAACTGTATCAAGTATTCATATTTTTGGTGAGGAATACAGAGTGGTCATGTAATTGAAATCTCAAGATGATATAAGTAGAGATAAAAGTTTATTTTCTGTTCTTCAGCGATGAAGAACCCTAAGAATTGAAGAAAATTCTTTGTCAAAAACTTTATTATAAACTAAAACTTTTTTTCCCTCCTCTTTTTCAGGAGTTGTGTGCTCTGGCCCTGACGTCTCCAACACGTGCATCAGTGCTTCGCAGTGTAACAACGGAAAGTATGTCACTGCTGATGCAATGAGCTGTGGGGTGTGCGACGTCAACTGTGCCACGTGTTCCCAGACCTCCACCCACTGTTCTACTTGCCCCACTGGGCGTGTCCTGAGGGGCGACTCCACGTGTGCTGAGGAATGCGAGGAAGGCAGCTACTCGGATGAGGAAAATCAATGTCAGAAATGCAGGTAAGTGACGCAATGGATAGTGCATCTTGATTGGTAATGGTACATGTTTTTCCTAATAAACGATAATAATAATAGCTCACATTTTATAATGCGCCTAATACTTTGTACTAGGCGCAGCACATATTATTACCCCGGTCATCAGATTCAACACAATGTATGCACATTTTCCACTCCCTGGGGAGCATTCCAATGATCTTATTTTATTTGTTTAGTGAAAGGTTGTTTTTTAAAGCCCCTAAAAAGAAGGGAATTCAATGAATTTATTAGATTTACTACATGTACATCAGTTATTTCAGATATCTATGATGTGCCAATTTTTTTTTTTACAAGCTATTATGAATTCTTAAACAATTTATAATTATTTATGTAATCTGTGAAATGTTCAAATAACTTGTAAGCTTGTGAAACCTAGGAATGAAAGAAATTGTGCTCTATAATTGTTAGGTGATCTTGTGGTTGAAGTCTTACTTGCTGCAAGTCTTACAGTAACAAACAATGCATGAACACAAAGTATAAAGTTAGTAAAAGCTATGTTTTTTTTCTTATTTCGTTCTTTTGCTTTGTCATTTTATAGTGAGCAGTGTTTAGAATGTACTGGCCATGCCTCACAGTGTACGAAATGCCCTCCTTTCTACTACATGAATACGGAAACCCAGAGCTGCGACTCGTCTTGTACTGATGGGCTCGTCATGAGAGGGAACCCTAATATTAGACTCAGTCAGGGCCAGACAGCTTTAGAGGGGAGAGTAGAGGTAAATATAATCGATATATCAATTGATTATCAACTGTTTGACATTAAACAAAACCTGAGTTGATTGTTCGGTTAGTTGGCTGGTCAATTGGTTGTTTGTTTGGTTGGTTGGTTGATCAAATAATAGACTAATTAATGGATTGATGAGTAGGTGGATGGATGGATGGATTGACTGATTGACTAATTGAATGATTGGTTGGTTGTTTTACTTGTTATTCAATGCTGATATTACATGTAAGCTGGGAAAGATCATCTCTAGATCTTTAAATACATGCATGTGGAACTTAAGTCCATCCTGTGCAGTTTATCTTCCAACAAATAGATTTTAAATGTGCTGTGAACGAAAATCAGCTGACATGTTTAGAGCCAGGTTTCCAAAACATTCTAATAATAATAATAATAATAATAATGGCTTCTTATATAGCGCACATGTCCGCCACGTCCGTGACACTTCTTGCGCTGCCCGATTGATTGAAGCATATGGAAGCATATATGGAAACAATGTTTTATACATACTTTATATACAAAAAAGCAATGATATTTCTATTATTAATTATTTATCTCTTTTTCATGTTCCAAACCTAGATTCTTCACAACAACCAGTGGGGAACGGTCTGCGACGATGATTTTGACCTCCTGGATGCTCAGGTCGTCTGCCGTCAACTTGACCTTGGCGACGCCCTTAACTTCTACCTGGGCTCCGCGCCCGGATCGGGTCCTATCTGGCTTGATGAACTCAAGTGCACCGGGGAGGAGGGGTCACTGCTGGAGTGCATGCATAGCGGCATCCAGGGACACGACTGCACCCATAATGAGGATGTGGGTGTGAGGTGCGCGGGACCGGATACGTCGCTAAAATGTGTGTCCAGCTGTGATGATGGGTTAGTATCAAGAAATTGTCCTTTCAAACAAAGTTAAAGAGCAGAAGACTATTCAAGTGTATTGTTCTTTCTGTCATTCAAAACTGTGAACTTTGACCTCATGACCCTAAAATCTAATCAGTTCATTGGCTCTGCTAGAAAAACTTCTTTTGTGTTATGTCCTTTCTTTCGATATAGATAAATAGACTAGTCAACCTGTCGTTCTCTTCATCTCTCATTCTTTCACAATATAGAATAACAGAGGAATAGACCTTTCCTCTATCTTAACCCGTTGGCAACTGGATTCTCGCATTCACATAGGCTTAATACAGGAGCCACCCGGTTCCTGTAGGCAATGGGTTAAGCTGTCTCTCAATCTTTTCAAAATATCATGTAAACATGGCGATGGTAATTTGTTCTTTGAAGATTTGATAGAACAGATCAGTCAAATATGCCTTGACTGACAAAATAGGATTTGAAGTATGAACTGATAGGCAATTGCTGTATGTAATAAAGCTCTAGCGAAACCTACACTATGTACACGTACTCTCTGCAACCTGATTTAGCCAATATCGCATACAAAGCTTGATTCTATCCTAGTCAAGCATCGCTTATGATTGCGGTCTCCTGCACTTTTTCAACAGATAGTTTGGATAATATTTTTAATTTATAATATGTCATAGAAATATTAAGTTTTGTTATAATATGTATACCTATACGTAAAAAAACATTTTGACATGAAGTTATTATTGTTTGTATATTTGGAAAAATGCAGAAATTGAATAAAATCAAATTGCAATCTTTTTTTCAATCACAATCAGCTTCTTCGCTAACTCGAATTCTGAATGCGAGATGTGCAGCGACGCCTGTCTGACCTGCGACGGTGCTGCAGACACGTGTACCAGCTGCTCCGCCCCTACCTTCCTCAACGGGACCCTGTGTGTGGAGTCCTGTCCGAGGGGCGAGTACGGGAACATCCACAGCCACACCTGTGAGCCATGTCACGATGCATGCGACGAGTGCTTCGATGGACAGACCAATGACATGTGCAAGACGTGCAAGCCCGACTTCTTTCTAAAAGGTAATATCTCAATATGCTTTTTTCTTAAATTTAAGTGATAATTTAATCATATTTGCAGTGTATGAAAGGAATATCAATAAATGAGGAATATACATGTACATGCAGATAAAATCATATCTCTGTGTGATTGATGAAATAATGTATACACCTTTAAGCATTATAGAATGAAGATATATTTTAATGAAGGTGGAAATAATTATAGGGACAAAAAAGCAATTCCATTTGCAGATCGACCAAATCATGTATATAAAAAAACAAAATTTGCTTTACTAACCCCCTTATATTGAGAAAGACTTATTCAAACATACTGACAATATGCCAATAACTTGTCACGATATTAAAGAAAGTAATTTTGCTTAAAATCAATTGAGCAATGTCTATGAATAAAGCTCCTCTTTTAAACCTTCTACTAGATGTAAAATATATTGAGCTATGAGACCATCATCCACTTTTGGTTGCTTACTAACAAACATTTATGCTTTCTTAGCAGTTGGGTAAAATAAGCACCACTTCTACTTTTGTTCAATCTATTTCTTGGTACAGGCTGGTCCTGTGTTTCTAGTTGTTCCGATGGCTCCCAGCCATTGAGGGAAGTCCTTCTGTTGCTTGGGCAGAGTGAGCCGGTGCGTCTTGTGGGAGGGGCCAACTCCAGGGAGGGGCGTGTGGAGATCTCTCACGGAGACCAGTGGGGGACCGTCTGTAACAACAACTGGGACCTGGTGGATGCGAATGTAAGTGATGTACTTCTTTCTTTTCCATGTCAACCTTGGATGTATACTAGTGTTATTAGCTTCATGTAAGATACTGTTAAAGTGATCCGGTAACATTTGTAATGGACCCGTAATGGGTCGGTGATGACAAGTTCAGAAACAAAATGAAAACGAAAGAAGCTCGGATATACAGTGGAAGTCCACTTTATTGTTTATAATGTCAGCCGAAGCTCCAGTAGTTACAAACAAAGATTAATTATTTAAGAACATTTTTAAATGCTTATTATCTCAAGGAATAGGCATGACCTGATTAGTTGCCAGAAGAGGACATCCCTTTTTATATCTTTCTGAGCGTGCTGTCAAAAATATGAGAAGTCTTATTCCCTGTTCTTCGTACTTGGACATGACTCATGTTATGGCTTTGTCAGTCAGTATTCATTACATTTACCTTTTCCTCTTTTTTTCAGGTTGTTTGTCATCAACTTGGCCAGGGAAGTGCTGTAGAGATCATCACAGGTAGTGTCTTTGGCCAAGCATCCTCAGACGCGCCAATCTGGTTGACTGGAGTCGACTGCAAAGGCTGGGAGCTGGGTCTGTCCCAGTGTGTCAACAGTGGATGGGGCAATACTGGCTGCTCACACTACAGGGATGTTGGTATGTCTACAATTGATCATTATGTTGCGAACTGTTTGTCATGTTTTTTAAAGTGAATATAGACTAAAGAAGAGATTTACGGTACTCATTTTGGAATTGTAACATACCCCTTAAGTTTAATATACCATTTGCCAAGTTGTCTGTATAACCTCACACATAAGAGACATGTGTTAAATATTGTAAAAGTATACCTGCACCTAATGATTGCAAGAAAGACACTTTATCAACGGAATACAAATTTTCTTATTTTTCAATGTGGAGCTGATCAAATAAAGATTAAAACTGACGTTGTCGATTGTTTGTTATAATGGCATTTCACTCTTTTTCCTATTCACAGCCATTCGATGCAGTGGAGTGAATGACCAACAGAGAGGCAACATTTGCAGACAGGTTACCTCATCTTCCTGTGACAGTGTGCCTTGCAGCAGTGGGGTGGATTGCGTAACAGTGAGCGACGACCAGTCTGTTTGTTTGGAATGCCCAGAGGGTCAGGTTGGCAACGGAATTTATTGTACAGGTTAGTGTGAAAAAATTGGAGACTGTGTACAAATCGAAGGGTATTGATAGCAAAGTGCCATGTGCACAACTTCCACAAAGGTGCGCAAAAGTGCTCTGTTTACTGGCTGAAGTGTAGCAGAAAACTACATACACCTCAGGATGTCTTTTGCTGCACATAGTTCTTTGAAGGCCTTTTATCGAGGCACTGTATATACACCTGCACAGCACCTACATCGGTAGGAGAATACACGAAATGGTGAACTGTACTTCTTTGGCCCATGGCCCAAGGATGACACACACAATCGTAGAGTATTCCAAATAATCTAAGAAGAGGAAGAAGAAGAAGAAGAAGAAGGACAACGGCTGAAGAAAATACTTATTTATTCTTCATAAACTCTTTGTTAATGTAGTGTTGGTACCATCAACCATACAGACAATACAGAACGATGGCACTGGTGGGATGCATAAAGCTAATGAATACCAGTTAAAACTATCTATCCGCAAAATTGCTTGAAAAATCCCAAATTGTCTTTTGTTTCTGAAGGTCTTGGCATGTCAGTCACTGTAACAGAGACTTTTGAGGTACAAACTAAACTAAATTGTTTGCTTACAACCAGAAGGGCGGTAAATCATATTTTACATAGAGGCAATGTTTATCTGGCTCTTGGGGAACAAAATCAATAATTCTTTTGGGCTTCGAAACTGATATGTATCTTTGTTGTTCTTTTTAGAATTCAGCCTATAAACAATGGTAGTTGTTAGTTTATTAGATTATGATTTCTATGAAGTACCAGTAAAATTCCTATCAAATTCCATGTCTCTGTGAATTATTTGGAATTACAATTAAAACTATTTTTGGTCTTTTTATTTAAAATTTTCAGTTGTGTCCAGCTACCCACCCACATTCGCTGAAGAACCCAAGAACCGCACCATCAACGCTGGCTCGGGAGCGCTCTTCCGTTGCAAAGCCGATGGCCGGCCCACTCCAAGGGTCACGGTCAGCAGTTGGCTCAAGGACGGTCAACCCCTGTCTCAGCGAGACTTGAGTAGCGGACGTTTGAGGGTCTACACCTCGTCAGGCTCTCTCCAGTTTGTCAGGACCCGCAGAGAGGATTCTGGGAATTATACCTGCGTTATCAGAAACACCCAGGGTGTTAACACATCCAGTGCTTTCCTGGTTGTCAAAGGTATGTTTTGGGGAGTTACAGAGACTCAACAAGTGTTCATAAATATTATTTTGAATATTCATAGCACGGGATCATTCACAAATAGTTAAAAACCAAGCATTGTACTTTCATTATCCTATCACTTTTAATTTTGCATTCTGATTGTATCATGGCAAACTATGATTTGATTGCTTTGAATGTGAACCAATTATACTCTTGGTATAGGAGTTCAGAAGTTGGTAATTGATCCAGTAATGTTTTAGTATCTAGTAAATTTCATAATTATCTTGTTCATTAATTCTTTTTTATTTTTTTGTCACATTATTTATACATTTTTCGTTTTGAAGTTTTGTACGATTGCATACTTGAATTACATAATAAATGGATGAATATTCTGAATACATAATTGAATTATAACTTATTTCTTGCATTCTCCCTATCGCTGTTTCATCTAGAACGACCCCACATCATGTCGACACACCCTGACACACGCATCCTTGGTGAGACTGCCGAACTAGGATGCATTGTCGTAGGTCTCCCAGAATCGACAGTCTCCTGGAGACGCAACGGACAACCCCTGATGGGTGAACGGTTCCAGAGCTTCGGTGAGAACGGGACCCTGCTGATCAGAGATGTGCGACTTGAGGATAACGGCATGTACGAATGTGTGGCTGTCAATCAACTCGGTGAAGACCAGGCATCGGTGAAGTTGACCGTCTATGGTAAGTTGATGACTGCTTGTACACAACTATGGACATCAACTAGGTACTTTGTACTTGGTTGGGTAATCCCTTTGGTAGCTCACTCAGGAAGCTATACTTGGAAGGTGTATTGTATTTCATTTTATAAATTTGGCAATTTCTTATATATATTCCCTGCATGCACCATTTTGAGGGTGTTTAAGTGCTTAACTTTACATATATCAATGTAGGATAAGTTGACAATTGAAATGTAAATAAAGTGCTCATATCAGATTAATTGTACCATTACTTCAGAAGGCATTTTCTTCAAGAGAGTATGCACTGTATCTCATCAAGGTAAACATTGTAACGTTTTCCTGACTAAATATTCATATTCTATAACATTCCATTCGACTGAAGAATTTATTTTGTAAACTGTCTATTCCTGTACATTCTCAATGGAATGGGAGTATCATGATTCATTAGAAACCTACAATTTGCACATTTAAAATGACAATTAAAAATAACTATTTTGTATAATATTTTTTTTCCTGCAGAAGTACCCACATTCCTAGAAGGTCCCCAGGAGATGGAAGTAAGAACAGGTTCTGATGTCAGTATACCCTGCGTGGTGTCAGGTGTGCCTCTACCCGAGATTACATGGAAGAAAGATGGTCAGATGATATCTCTTAATGGAAGGTAAGTCAGATATTCTTTTTTTGCAGCTTCAAATCTTATCAGATGCTCCAAAGCTGTAAAGGCACCAAGTTTGAATTGATTTTTTTTTAAATTGTTTATTAGTAAGAAATCATTTGCAGCCAGATGGCCGAATTGCAGATTCTTTACAATCACAATAGATAAAATGGATACATAAATTAATGATAATACATTCATATCAGTGAAAATGCACTTTTCGACTAATGACATAGCCCAGGGCATCAATAAAAGTTTATCATGATAAATATAATAGATGATATGTATAACGCGGTTCATGAAGAACTTTGATCACTTTAGATTTAAAAAGTGAAAAAAAGAACTTACTGAAAGTATGATTCTGCTTAGAGACCAGTGTAGCATTTGAATCCCATATCAAATCTACTGTATACGAAAATTGTGAAATCCATGTATGACATAATTGGTGAAGATTATGTAGTTTGTTTTTCCTTGATATATAAACAGAGGGTATCCATAGTGTGCCTGGATATCTGTTTTTGGACTTGTATTAACTATAGACTTTTCTTTCTGAGTATATAAAACTTGATGTAAGTTACAGAAAACAAATATTAATAAAAGAGATCCTTCCAGGACTACAATCTGTCAGGAACCTTGTACAGTACACTAAACAGATTTGCTGCATGGTTTTGGATGACGGGAGCAACATCATGATCCATCTTTAATGAAGATCTTATTTTACACCATTATTTTATTTCTTCCATTTTAGGGTGACCATTCTTGAAGATAATACTCTTGTGATTCACAAGAGCCAGAGGGAAGACATGGGCGAGTATGCATGCATAGCTTCCAACAAGGTTCAGACCAGTGCTAGAATTGCCAAACTTCTCATCATAGGTGAGTTATAATGCTTTTTTTTTTGTGACATATAGCAACGATACAAAAAAAAATTGTATCTGAACCATTAGATATTTTAAAAAAAAATCTTAGTTTTATGTTAGGTTTATGTTTTAATCATTAAAATATATAATAGTTCATGTTTGCTTTTAATACTTTTGTGACTGATTTATAATCTTTTTATTACTAAGTGAGATGAGTTGTAACATTGCTACATTCAACCTTAGTTGTAGTAGCATATAGTAGTAGGAGCATTTGTGATGAGGAGTTACAGTAGCAATATCACTATCAGTAATATATGTTTTACTCAATTATAGGTGGAGTTGATTTCTTTACTGATAATAACAAGTTTACTTTTCTCATTTTGTGATAGATGAAAGATAAAACTTGATTGAAAAATGAATTTTTTTCCCCACAAATGTTAATGAGTCAACTCTTTTCTTTCTCTTTATTATATTCCATAGGTCCCCCTCACATAACTGAAGCACCCACAAACCAAACACGAGTCACGGGCGAGACAGTGGTATTACCCTGTACAGTGATCGGTGCCTACAACCCTGTCGTAACATGGCAGCACAACGGAGAAGACGTCGTAAACGATGAGCGCCATCTCATGGTTGATGACAGCCTGACGGTTACCGATGTTGACCCTGCGGATGGCGGCCTCTACGTGTGCACAGCTACCAACACAGAGGGAGCTGTGTCCGCTAATGCTTACGTGTCTATCACTGGTAAGCATTATTTCTCTGTTCGTCACCAAAGAAGAATTGTCTTATTCAGTTATTGCTATTCTCTGTGATGAAAGAGCTGCAAAGAAAGGTTGTATTTTACAAGTACGTATGTATTTGCAATGAAAAAAATTTGAGAAGCAAATTCTCAGTTCTTAACCAAAAACAAATAGAGAGATTTAATATAAGCCATAAATCAGTTACAAATCCTGAATTGCCTACTTGACTTTGCCATATAACGTGTTCTCAACTTTAAACAATTCATTACATGATTAGGGTACTGTTTTCAATTTAATGGTTTATTGCGTTCCCAACATTAACTGATTTGTTTCTTTGATTCTTAGCTTTCATCCCACCCAACTTTTTTCTTAGTCAGATCATACTTGATTTTAATGACATCTTTCAATTCTAGTCTCATAATAAGATGTGATTTACGGTATTAAGAGCTATACAAATCCAAATTATTATCATTATTATCATTATTATTGATTATATTACATTTCTGTTCACTTGCAGGTCCTGTTCGTTTAGGTCAACACAAACATGTAGGTTCACATACCACACTCATAGTCATCTTAATCATAGCCTTCATCATCATTGTTGCCGTGGTTGCCCTCTACGTCCGACGACGACGCAACCTGGGCAAGAAGACCATAACTGCCAACACTATATTCAAAGGGGCCCCCAACCCTCAAAACATTGTGTTTTCCAACGATGGACACTATTGTCAGTTTGACAACGATGCAGATTATGAGAGCAGCGGGGAAGAAGTTAAAAAGAGCAAAAGCAAGTTAAAATTTTCTCCAAAGAAAAGAAAACAGGGTATTTTACTAGAAGAGGAACTAGAAGAGCAACTATAAAAGTCTGATGAATAAAAAGTGACATTTTGTATTCTCTGTTATGTGCATCATTGCTTTAAGATTCAGGAGCTCACAATTCTTCTTGTTTGTGCATTGGACAGAGATTAGATATATCTCCTTGTCTCGTTTTCATAGAAAAGTTTTAAAAAAGAAATGCTTTTTGCTGGTATATGATACCAAATTTGTCGCTTGTGTTGTATTCATGTGCCTTTTGCAGAGATTTGTTGAATGTCAAAGTTTGAGTATGCACTCATTTTGAAACGTGTACCATGCCAGTGGGGCATATATCTAATTTTGGTATGTTACTGATTGAATTATGTTTGAACTGAATTAAGAAGTGCCAATTATAAGCAATCAAATGCAGAGATACTGCATATAAGGTGTGGTATAATTGTAATGAAAGAATGCCATAACTTGAAAAAAGAAATACTAGAATGTAAAAATACGAAAACATAAAAATTAGAATTAAAAAATAACAAAAAGAAAAAAAGATTATACATGAAGATCATGATTGTCACGCACCTGAAAAATTTGCACTCTAATTCTTTACACTGCAATTGTTTCTATTCGTCCATAAAGCGATGAAATCTTGTTATGATCGATTTGAAGCCCTTTTTTATTCTAAATTGCACAGAAATTAGCCTGAAGGCTGAAATGAGATGTGAGAGAATAGATCATTTCGTTTCATCAATGTCTTCTTAAAGTTGAGCTCCGTTTTCCAATCAGTATTGGTCCAAACATCAGGAATTTGCAAGGGATAGCAACATTTCAATTTCAATCTCCTGATTACATATCCGCCGTGTTTTCTTATTCGATAGGTGCATTGGTAACAGGCTTGAGGCATAATTTTGCAATGAATTACTTTAACCCCTCTCATGGCCTTCCATAAGTGTCGTGAACAGTTCCTGCCAAATTGCATAGTTAGGTACAACCTATCTTGGCATTCCATAGGAGTGTCGAACAGCTCTTCCAACGTTCCATAATTATGTGTAACTTATCATGGCCTTCCTTAAGAAATCCGAAACATCATTATCAGATCATGTGCATGACGATGAGAGAATGTATTTATTCAATAGTAACCTTATTTATTAATTTATTCATAAGAAAGTTGTCTTTAATGACGATAATTGTGTGAGTGTAATGACGTTCTTCCTGTCCATAAGAGCAATAAATTTAACCCGTTGGATACGATCCGACATCAGTTTAACATACATTTTCCAAAGACAGGGTAGATCGACGATTATATTTTGCGACCTTGGCTGAATATTGGCTGAAAGTGATAATGCAATGTACAATGCACGTGCAATCCTCTCAATTTACTTACAGATTTCTGTTCTCCTTCTCTTCATTTTCTACACCATATTCTCTTTATTCTTCTTTCTTCATTTCTTCTTTCCTATTCCTTTTCTTCTTCGAAATTAAGCCTGATGTCATGTTATGTAAGATAAAAAGGAGAGAGCATTAAACTGAAATGTTAGTTTAGTTAATCACATCCACAATCCCCCCATATTATTGGTACGAACGAATTATGAAGTTATATATTTTTGTTACATTGATATGAGAATGTCCCTCTCAAATAATGCCAATTGTATATTCTGTTAATATTGTATAAAGATATATCAATGCAATGCAAGGCAAGAGGGATGTGAAGAATTTATTATGTTAATATGTAAATAAATTGTATTGTACATTGCTGTAAAATAAAATATTGTATTATTAATTGGTGGGTTGGTAAAATAAATTGCACATCATTATATTTCATTGACTTAAATTTTTGAGACAAACCACACCGAGCACCAAAAAAATCATTATACACAAGTCAAATGACTTACATAAAGTATTAATGTATTGATTTAAGTGCTTTTGTTATATTAAATCAAAAGGCAAGATTATGGAGATACATATATAACATCTTCTCTCCAGCTAAAAGAAAGAATTTAAATGATGTTCTCATTTGATATTTTAGTAATGGCTCGTTTAGATATGACGCGGTAAAATCATGGTGGTTATTTTACGATAAGTGATGTGAAATGTAATATATGTTACATTTCTGTATCTTAAAACACAGAGCTCAGTGAAAACGCACGATTCCTTTGTTGCAGGCAGTTGCCATTCGTTTATAAGTAAAACATGGCTGCCTTTTTGCAGCGATTTACTGTGCCATATCTGAACAAGCCTTTATTGTCGCCTTGAAATGATATCATGTGTTGGTACTGGATAGTACTATGATATATCAACCACTTGCGAAGTGTATTACTACACTCGGTGTACTGAACTTGTCACTGAAATTATGAAATAAATGAAAAAGAAAAGAAAAGAAAACTTTGTGGTGTAAATGCTTGCTATTGGATGAACGTAAAATCCATTGGATGAATGCAGAATCTATTGGATGAATGCAAAAACTATTGGATGTTTGCAGAATTAATTGGATGAATGCAAAATCTATTGGATGAATGCAGAATCTATTGGATGAACGCAGAGTCTATTGGATGAATGCAGAATCTATTGGATGAATGCAGAGTCTATTGGATGAATGCAGAGTCTATTGGATGAATGCAGAATATACTGGATGAATGCAAAATCTGTTGGATGAATGCAGAAATTATAGGATGAATGCAAATTTTTTTTTAAATTGAGAGGATGAGACGGTTGTTTGTAATTGTTGATGTATTATTTCGTCGAATGTTTGGTGAAATGACTGTTTTGCTCTGTCTGTTTGATTGCAATTTTATGATGTAATATTGATTTTACAGAGAAATGATTGATTGTTTGACTTATTGAATCACTGATTGAAAAGTAATACGAAAAATTGATGAGAATTTGGAATTCTAGATGCAGAGAGTTTCATCAATTCATCATTTGATAGATTGAATACATGATCTATAAGAAAGTGACATTTGTGAGTCACAGTATTGGATTTGAATATTTTATAGATAATAATAGATTGTATGATATGATCGATGATAACTGATTATTAGATTTATTAGAGAAATAAGAAATAATCTTAAATAAGAAATTGGTAAATACTGGATATATATACATCTAGTTGGATGAATTGAGGTCGAGTGAATGGTTTGCATGGTTGATGGAGTGTTTTGTGATAATAAATATGTGTAATGCAATCCCACCCCGATAACAAGACGTGTTGAATGAAAAGCAGGAGAAGAAAAAAACACAAAACAAAACTAACAAACAATATTAATTAACAAATTGGTGAAAATTTTAGCGAAATCAAAAAAATAATATATCGAAGGAAAGTTTAGATCCCATCAAAGATTTGTTAATGTGACGGACATACTTTGGAAAAACTCTCTCACTTGTATGCACCAAAACATGTAATAGATTTCCAAATTTTAATCATTCACGCATCCTGTTCAATTAAAGATGTATTAATTCAGGCCCATAAACTAGAATTTTAGTGTCAGTAAGGGGGGGGGGAGGCTCAGACATCATATGAGATTGACCCTTTGGAGGGCGGAAATTAAGCGCCCGAGCGGGGGGGGGGGGTTAACATTTTCTGTCTGAAAATTAAGTTTTAGGTACAATTTTGAATACCAAAACGGTTTCCCTTATATAATAACAGTGTCCTACCTTTGTTAATTGTTTGCATTGTTTCCTTAACCTATTTTAACATGAGCATCATCTTCCTTGGATGACTTTTATACTTTTAACATATTTAACGGTCACGGCCGGCATCCTTTTAGGAGTTAAAAAGCTTTTCGTCACCCCAAACCAAACTTTATCAAAGTGGATTAGTTTTCCATCCCTCGTATAAATGGACGTGCGGGCACATTTTCGCGTGAGTATTAAGGTGAGAGCCTCTTGCCTGAAAATATAATACCTGAATCTCAAACATTGCGAGCGAGCGATGTAAGCGAGCGAAAATAATTGCATTTTATAATCGCAAAAATGTTATTTAGTCATCAATATACACCAGATAAAAAGTAATGTAAAGATATATTTGTTCATCTCATTGCCACGAATCATCCTGATTTATCAACATTTGCGAGAAGTGAAGCAAACGACGGAAAAAGACACTTTGTTGTGGTATAAATTTCATTAATATACATAAAATACAACAAATAAGGATATATTCGGGTACTTGTGCCCGAATCATGACGATATCCGGGCGGTGAATATTATCATTTGGGGATATCCCGTTTCTAAATTTTGCGAGCGAGAAAAATACATTTTACCATCTCTGAAATATTATTTCCTCATTAAAATACCCATAGTGAAATATATTTGGGCATCCTTGCGGTTCCTATTAAATAAACGGTACTTTGTTTCCATGACGTCGGCAAAATTTTCGGGACAAAAAAAAGGTGCTCTTCGACCCCCCCCCCCGCTTATTCACTGGCTGGCTCAGTCCTAAAAAATGTGCTCTTACCCCCCCCCCCCCCCCCCACCCCGCTTATTCAGCGGCTGGCTGAGTCGTTGCGGGGGGGGGTTGGGGGTCGAACCCCCCTCAATTTTTTTAAAATATGTGCTTTGGTGCTAAAGGGTGTTAAAGAGTGACCAAAAAAGGTGACCTTACCCCCCATCCCCCCCCCCCAACTGAACGAAATATCAGTCGGCCAAATTTTCGGGACAAAAAAAGTGCTCTCCCCCCCCCCCCGCTTATTCACTGGCTGCTTTAGTCGTAAAAAAATGTGCTCTTACCCCCCCCCCCCAAAAAAAAAAAAAAAAAAAAAAAAAAATGTTTTAATCCCCGGCTTCGAAATCCTGCGTACGCCCCAGCCAGATGGTAAAAAATTGAGATGGGGGGGGGGGTGGAATAATGGCCCAGAGGGGATAATTTGGAGTGGGAAATGTTGTGAACATTAAGAAACGGACAAAATCATACTCGCTCTGTTTCTTTTCCTGTATGTCTCTACATATGTATTTGTGCGTTCCTTTATTATTGATATACTATTTTTGCAACTATAAGTTATAGGGGGCTGCAATCTACAAGCCCAGCTTTTCAGCAGTCCCCTCCATGACCAACCTGTTTTATATGCCTATTGTACACTGTGGACCAATTACAAATATGTTGTTAAGTTTCATTGTTTTACTATGTACAATGCAATCCCATGTACTTTATTATTTTGTTAGAAATGTAAATAAACGAAATGAAATGAAATGAAATCTCTCCTATCTCAATTTCTTTTTCTTCTCTGTTGTTTACGCTACATCAATGATGCAGATCGGATCACTCAATAGCAATTTTTGATAATTATCTAATGCACCTATACCAGGCGCGTACGCAGGGGGTGTTTGGGGGGTTAAACCCCCCCTTTGGTATTTTTATGTGTATAAACCCCCCTAAAAAAAACCTAACCCCCCCCTTTTGGTTTTTTTTTATTTTTTTTATTTTTTAATAATAATACAAATTAAAAAAAAAGTATTCTCATGGCTGACCTAAAAAAGGTGACCTTACCCCCCCCCCAACAGAGCAAAATGTCAAATTTTCAAATTTCGAGACCAAAAAGAAAAAAAAAGTGTCCTCTTACCACCCCCCCCCCACCCGCTTTTTCAGCGGCTGGCTGAGTCGATGCGAAATTTTCGGCCCGATTTAAAAATGTTAAACCCCCCCCCCCCCCTTGAAAAAATCCTGCGTATGCGCCTGACCTATAATGTACAACAAATTTAATTTAAGACTTATCATGTTGTGCACACGTCACTGATTAACGTTACATCATAATTTTTTAAGAGCATTTTCAAGCAATCTATCTCATTGTAATATCTCACGCTCTTTTTTCTTTCCTTCATCTCTCTCTCTTTAATATTTTTTTAGCGGACATCTTGTCGCTGGTGGGGGGGGGGGGGGGGGTTCGCACCCCAGAACCCCCTCAGTAACGGGCCTGCAATTTTAATAATGGCAATCAATGGCAACCTTCTTATGTGTTATCAAATATGCAACTGTTATGAAAGATTTTTGAAAGTCTAGAAGATAATTTTCATTTTAATCGAATAAACATTAACGTTATGAAAAGTTTAAATCATCAAGCCTATAACAGTCTAGAAAAATCCGGAATCGACCTAATAGTAATATCAATGTGTTGCAATTAAGGACTATCACTAAAATTGTTTCTATACAATTATTACTTAAATACATTTATCCACTGCGAGACTCTGAGCAGACCTTTCTTTTCATTGGAATTCATTTTTAAAAAGAAGTAGCGCTCAAAATGTATCATGCATCAAGTAAAGAAAGCTTAATAATAGTGATAATATAGAGGTCTATTTGGAATAACGATTTTGAATGTCAGATTTCTAAGGGGAATTTTTCGTTACAGTTAAATATGTTCTTAAAGGGTTTGGATCGCTTTTTATGTCTACGTAAACTTTCAGCCGTTAATGAAAACAATTTGGATAACTTAATTTGCTCAACATTTTAGCCTTATATAAATTTATTTAATAGGTACTAGATAGATAGATAGATAGATGGATACATAATATAGAGATATTATAGGCGGCCAGAGAGAGAGAGAGAGAGAGCCTGAGAGAGAGAGAGAGAGAGAGGAGAGAGAGAGAGAGAGAGAGAGAGAGAGAGAGAAAAGGGGGGGGGGGCGTAAGGGGAGTGAGGGGAAATGATATCCCCGTATTCGACCCCGTGATCTTTCTCTCTGTCTCCCTCTCTCTCTTTGTTTTTGTTTGTAGTAATGTTTTTATTGCTTTTATTATAATTTCGGTGGTATAGTATATGTTGTAAAAGCCTATCCTCTACTTATTTTAACAATTCGCGGCTCCCGTTTCGGTAGCTGAAATAGTCTATGGGCTCTCAGGGATTTTATTATTATTATCATTAATATAATTTTTCCTGGGGGGGGGGTCCGATGTAGAACACACCCTCCCCAGTAAAGCGGTCCACTAAACAATGAAGATAAAAATAAAAGTAAAAATCGTCTGTCTGTCTTTTCTTTCTTTCTATTTCGATGTTAAACTTTGGCGCCCTCTGGCGATGACAAAAGATAGAATAGGTCGGGCGGAAGAAAATCAACGAGTGGAGAATCACAACATTAGCGTTTTTTATTTGTCTTTCAACTTGATCAAGCTCATTTACCGAATTATGCAGGTAAGTTTACAATTACCATAATAACAATCTACAAAACTGTGTGTATCGCATGGGCATTTGCAGGTGTGAAATGGTTAAAATGTCTGTGCAAGCTACGACTTCTTCTTTGCTTCTCACTCACTGACTGCCATTCCTTACACACGGGCAGTGAACGCAGGGTTCTTTGTATGTGAAGGAGAAGAGGTGGAGGAGAAAGGAGTGGAAGCGGAAATGAAGGACTGCAGTCTGCATGCATGCCGTCGTGTATACATGGACGTACACACGCTGTGTGTATTGTGTATTGCTGCTGTGCAGTGAAGAGAGATTTAATGCGAAGCAAGGGGGTTATTGGTTATTGCATAGTCCAGCCTATGTGCAGCTGCTTTTCAAAATGTGTTAGGTGACTTTGGCCTTTGGTCTGGGAACTTGGTCCATTCTCGATGTACATGTAGGCACCAGGCTAATTTGGAATCTTTTGACTGTATAATAATGTGAAATAATGTTTATTCAGTTTCTAAATCATTCTTAAATAATGCAAGCCAAAGGCAAAGTGAAACTGAAAGTCACAAACTCATATGATGAATATCATGATTAACTTGTGTTATTAAAGATAAAGTTGAGTTCTGGTCATGCGATTGCATTGTGAAAGAAAAGGTGTGGAATGGATCAGAAACAGTTGATCATGTACTATGTAGCATGTTGTTAGTATTGGTGTGTACTGCAAGGTTCTGGAGTCGTACAAATCATAATTAATTTGGCCCAGTCTTGGTAAAGTAATAAACAAGCACTGTACACAGAAAGATGTATATGGGACTACACAAATGGTGTTGGGGAGGGGGGGGGGGGGGGGGGTTACTTACCTTGATTTCTTTATCTTTCTATGCTCATTACTCAGCCAGTATACATTTTCTACCAAAAAAAATGTTTGGCAAATGACATTTATTTGTAATCTTGAACATTCAGCATAAGTTCTGTTTGATTCTGTGAGAAGTCATTTTTTTTTTTTTTTACCAGAACTCAAGTTGATCTTTAAACATTTAACACTAGACTACTTTACTTTAGCAATCATTTGCATTTACATTGTCTGGTTCATGATATGAAAATGTATAAAGCTAATTTAGCTAAACAATATACATGGTTTTGGATTTGTCCACGGTATAGGATCTACAGTGTACCCCGTTGTGTCAATTCATAAAAGTATATCGTCATCGATGTACTTTTGTCCAACAATCTTTTGCTTGTTTGGAAATGTTTTTCCCTAGAGTTTGACCAGTAAGGCATCAGAGTCCAAGGCATCGTTTCACAAAACCGTCATATGTACAAGTTCACGTCACTGACATCCCATTGAAACACTTGGTAAATTTAATACACACATTTCAATTGGATGTCGGTGAACTTGTTTGTGACGGTTTCGTGAAATGCTGCCCAGTAACAATGATCTAATGACCGAGATCTTGATCATGTATATCAAGGTCTAGACTTTAAAAAATGACTAAAAAATCTAGCATTAAATTTTAAAAAAGGATTGTAAAATGTGAACATTCAGAATGTTACTATGTTTTCAGCAATGATGTTGTGTTCTGATATTATCTCAAATTGGCAAAAAAATTATTTTTACCTAGATATATTTGATATGTAATTTTGAACAACACTCCCTCATTTCAAGAGCTTTAGAAATTAGAAGATAAAAGAACGTAAGGAGAAAGAAGTACCGGTAAAGCAAAAACAAAATGCCCTGGGCCTGGGGGAAACAAAAAGAAGAAACCAAGCAAACAAATTACGATCAGATCTCACTAGATAAAAGACCCCAAACATTGATCAATAAATAACTTTTGCATATGTGTCCTACATTTGACAGCACTTGGCTACAAATATTCTGTAATCCAATGAATAAATCCCAATTTTTGTAATGGAGAGCATGGTATCCATAGAAATCAAACAGAAAAATGAATTTACAAAAATGTATCAACTCTGTTTCCTATAACATGTACTTACTTGTACATGAAGCAGGCTACATGTAACATCTTGTACATGTTCAGTATGGATTGTGTACAAGGAAGTTAGAAGAGGAATTTGTATTCAATGGCTAAATATTCTAAAATTTAAAGACTTTTGTTAACCAAGCTCGCATACCGTATATACTTGGGGGAATTGTACACAAAATGTGCGCTGAAACTGAGGATGAGTGTTGGCTCACTTGGCTGTATTTTAGAGACTTAAATTTTTCTTTTTTGATAAATGAAATAAATGGAAAAAGAGATATATGATGTGAAGGATTCATCTTACACACGTCCTCATCATTCTGCAAATGATTTTTGCGAGAATAACTACACTGTACTCTTATTCTCCTGGTAATCTTCCTGAGTAGAAAACTTTCATTTTTATTCATTTATTAATTATTTGTTTTCTTTTCTTCAGGAAAGATATTGAAAACCCACAACTGTTTTCATATACATGTAGCTATCCAAACTTTTTGAACAAATTTTATCTATGAAATGCCATGGACATTGTGTGCTTCCTTACTTCTTTCTTGATGAGACACTGTTGGTTTTACTCTGTACTACTAAATACTTGAATGTTTCTCCATTTGCATTAGGTATTTGATGCCTACCATGTGACCGTTCACATCATGTAGTCAGAAGCTCAAGTACTACTCTATCCGGATATCCTCCTTGTGGATAGAGGCTTCTAAGATCATCAGCATCTCAAAAGACATTTCTTCAGCATGGATTACAAACAGGCAGTAGAGGCAGCCATGGTGCATGGTGTTGAATACAACCAGCCTGGGATGAATGCCAGGGAGAATGGGTACATACTTCCAGCCGATCAGCAGGGTGGTCCCCCAACCGCCCCTCTCGCTGCAGTGCCCAACATCCACAACAAGATGCCTTCCATGCCCCAGGCTGCTTACCCGGAGCAGAGGGAACCAGAACCCAACCCTCACCATCAGAGCACCATTGACCCCCATCATCAGGCAGCCATGGACCCTAACCATCAGGCAGCCATGGACCCTAACCATCAAGGAACCATTGACCCCAGCACCGCACCTGGGATGGAGCAACCCAATCCCAACTTGAACACCGGCATGAACTCTAACCCCAATGTTCCAATGGATTCAGACCCCAACCTGAACAGCAGCATGGAGAGCGCAACGGAAGAGAAGCATCTGCCAGAGGCGGGCATGGAGGAAGGCAACATGATGGCACCGTACGACGGTGCGGAGGAGGACGAGAACGATGCCCCGCACAATCTCTTTGACACCAAGAGCTCCAACCCCATCTTGGTGAGGGGTAGCTGGCAGTGGATGTGTAACCAGTGTCCCAAGAGCTACACCAGTAAGAGTAACCTCATCGCCCATCTCTTGGATCATTGTGGGATCAAGCCTCACATGTGTCTGGCTTGTGGCAAGAGCTTCAAGCAGGTTGCGCACCTCAACACGCACAGAGTAAGTCAATTTATCCTACAAAATCAATTCATTTTCAAAGGGCAAGTCCACTCCAAAACTTACTTACTTTCAATAGAGGCAGAAAAATCAGACAAACCAAGCAAAATCGGATAGCTAATAAGGAAGTTATACATTTTTAATGATATGAAAAACTTTGAAAAATGTTACTCTATTTTTTTTTGGCTCTGTTTCTTTTGTTTTTCTGCATCTATTAAAAGCAAATTTTATTTTTAGAGTGGACTTAGCCAAATAATCTATACCAATATACATGTGTAATTGCATTGGATAAAAAGAGGGAAAAATTTGAATTAGACTGAAAAAGATACATCTATTTGTTTTAGGCCAAGCAAAGCAGCTTTCCAGTCCAGAATATTTTGTTAACAGTATAGTGTGGTTTTATGAGTTAACTAGTGGTGCTCATTGCATATAAATGAATTTCTCAAAGTAATACGGTGTGGACTTTGTAAAATTGTATTGCAAACAATTTATATTAGTAAATTGATTGAATAGTTTTTAAGGTCTTAGGGTGCAAGTATTATGATAATTGCGATAAAGAAAACAAGTTAGAAGTTAATTATGATATCAATACATTTAGGATTATTCACCTTAGTGTTGGAAGACCTTACTGTGCAAGAAAAATTATTTGCTTTGAATCGGGTGACACAGGTACATGTAGAGATACGAAGCCATTATTTATTAGATAAAGGCTAACAAGTGCATGTTGTGAATTGTGAAATACAAGTTTCTTTGATATCAAATTTGGCGTTTTAAAAATGTACAAGTACATGTACTTGTTCACTATTCTTGTATTGATTGTTGTTTGTTTCTTTTTCCCACCTTTTTCATCTGTAGGTAATTCATACCGGCAGAAGGAAGCACATTTGTCCCATCTGTGGGCGGGGTTTCAATCAGAGAGTCCACCTAAAGCGTCACATGGTCACCCACAACATCAATGTAGCCTGCACTTGTGAGCTTTGTGGACGCAAGTTTGCTTTCCCTTCGGAGTTGCAGTTTCACCACAAGAAGGTGCACAGGAAGCGAGCTGGCCCTCCCAAGAAGAACAGTCGAAGTCCTTCCAATGATGGGGACAACCTACAACACTTCAATGCCTCTGCAACCATGCACCCGATGATGGCCTCTCAAGGTCAAATGATGGGGCCTGGTGGTGGTGTCAAAAGACAAGGCAGGTATGCCAATATTCCACAGGGAACGCAGTACATGCCAACTGGAAGGAGACGGACAAAAGCTATGAAAGCACAGGCGGTCGCTCAAATGCATGCTGCTTATGGTAAAATGCCTGTAGGACCAGGACCAGGAAGGGGACCATCCAATGATCACATGCCTATATCCCCAGGAGACCACATGCCTCATGGATCAAGTCACATGTCACCAAGAAATGATCGTACCCCACCAAGACACCCCCAGATGTCTCCTCGAAATGATAGGATGTCTCCAAGAAGTGATCCCAATGTTCAAGGAGATGATCAAATGTATTCTAAAAATGATCGGACTCCACCAAGAGGTGATCATATGCCACAGAGGCAGGATAGTGTGTCTTCAAGGAGCAGTGCCATGTCACCAGGAGGACATGATCACATGAGACAGCCGTTTAGTCATGGTGGATCCCAGTCTCCTCGAGGATCAGAAAATGGACCACATGACGACGGCCTTCTTCCTGCAGAGCTGTTCCAACCAGAGCTTGTTCATCCAGATGCAGGCAAAGCCGTCCTCCAGCCTGATGCCATGGAAACGTTACGATTCCATCCTGCGCGGAACCGCCCTGGAACCCAACGGTTCCGTAATAGAGCACCTAACAACCAGCCCCAAAGAAAATCTGTAAAGAAAAAAGGTGCACCACTTAAACCCGAACTGACTTGCACAGAATGCGGCAGGCAGTTTGCGTTCCCATTTGAGTTGCGAGATCACCTAGCAAGGCACAGAGATGTACGGCCCTATGTCTGCACCGAATGTGGACACCAGTTCTTCAAAGAGCACCATCTGAAGCAACATCAATTGATCCATACTGGTCTGAAACCTTTCAGGTGTCACATCTGCGATCGGGCCTTTGCTCTCAAGGCCAATATGCTTCGCCACGCCAAACTCCATGTCAACAACAGACAACACAAATGCCAAGTTTGTGATAAGTCTTTCTCGCAAAAGCAGACTCTTAGTAATCACATGGTTGTCCACAAGGATGAGAAACCATTCTCCTGCAACATTTGCGGCAAGAAGTTCAGTCGCAAGGTGAATCTTGACAGCCATGTGTACCTCCATTTTGGAAACAAGCCTTTCAAATGTTCCATCTGTGGTAGCAAGTACAACAACAAGGGAAATCTCAAGAGACACGTCAAAAATAAGCATGGTCTGGATGCTGACTTGCAGTCGGATGGTGAGAAGGAGGAAAATGAAAATGGCGAGAATGCTGATGAGAGCCAGCAGGTCGATGATGATGAAGGGAGGGTTGATCTTGATTCAAGTGGAGAGGTTCCTGGGGACGTTGAAGCAGATGTGTCTCAAGTTCCAAGTGAAGGTGATGGCAGTACTGAAGAGCAGGTACCCCCTGCCCCACAACCTAACTTTAGTGAAACCCCACAGCCTCTGGCAGCTGCAGCTGGACAGCAACCATCTTATGACTCTTCAAATCAAGAAGACTATGAAGAGGAGCCCGCACAACCTGTGAAACACCAACAAACTTATGAACAACCTCCCCAACCGAGCTCTACTCAACAACATTTTAATGATCACCCACGTCCAGTTAGTCAATCAAGTTATGAGGAGCCTGAACGCCCTTTGAGCCAAAGACATTATTCTGAAGCAGATGAAGCTCCAGCTCCGGCTCCGGCTCAACAAGACTATGTAAACCCTGAGCATCCACGGAGACAGAGTTATGGAGACCAAGAGCAAACCCGTACCCCAGAAAGCTACGGAAACAGCGAATACATTCGGCAACCAAGCTACCCGAGCCATGAGCGTTTAGCGATCCCTGAGGCGTACAGAACTCCAGAGCATGCTCACCCTCAGCCCCCATTCCCTGATCACGACCAAGCCATCAACCATCGGAACTATGTCGGTCGCGAACCTCCACGCCAGCCCCTGGTCTACACCGATCACCATCGTCCTACGAATCTGGACAGCTATGTGCCTCGCGACCCAGTGGGTCCAGTGGGTGGTCGTGACAGTTACCCGCCTTACCATGCCCAAGCAGCCTATCCAAGGCATGGTTATCATCATGTGGAGAGGTTCAAGATTGAACAAGGGGAGGCCATGGCACCACAGAACCCCATGCAGCTTATGCATTCTAACATGGGACTACCAATGTGAATCACTGTGTAAGTAGACCTTGTAGAAAACAGGGAGGGGGGGGGGGTGTTGAATTTAATAGCAAAACAAATTGCCCCATCAAGTGAGGTACATGTACATGTATCATGAAAACTAACATTAATCTTAAATTGGATTCTTCTACAATATAACTGATATCTTCCATACAGTAGATGACCTCATGAAAAGAGAACAGAGAGCAAATGTATTATATCTGGGTTTCAGTTTTAAAATTTGGGTGTCAACATATAAGATATTGCTCATGGTATGTCATTCACAGATTTGCTTACACTTTATATGGAAAGAAAAGTGAATTTTGTAGGAACTTGGAAATAAGATGTCATTGTTAGAATGGATGTTGTACAATGCATTCTGTATTGCTGCACATGTCTTGAACTTTAATAGTGATTATTTAATATAAAAACTTAATATGTTATTTCAACCCAATTAGGGGGTAACAATTATGTTAAAAATTTGAAATTTCCAGCAATGTTTACAGTGTATATTTACCTTAAATACACAAATAAGATGTGTTTAACATTCTCATGTACTGTACATGCTTGTATAGCAATTTGAAAATAGAATTTGTAAAAAAAAAAATGCATTTGTACAGCTAAACTCTAACATTGAGAAAAACATGTAAATGTGTAAAGTTTGTAAATTATGAGTACATGTAACTACTCCATTTCAAGTAAAAAGTATGATTTTTTTCTTTGTTCCGTAATGCTTTTGAAGAAGTAGAATGTACACAATGTACATGTATCTGTACATACTTTATAATGGCATTATCTAGTCTTTCAGAAATTTGAATGTGCATTGTACAGTAATCATTGTACAGTGTGAAATTGGCATGTAGGAGAGTGACTACATGTGTACATGCACTGTGCAGACGAGATGATTACTCTAATCGATGCCTCTTATCTGACGTAGGCGCTACACTGAAGTACCTTATTAATGTAGGCTAGAAAAACATGTAGAACTAATGCATACATGTAACTATAAATGCTATTTAATGTTTATTTTACTTTCTCTTCAATAACAAAATATGTATGCTTGTGTACATGTTTATCAAGCTCATAAATATAACCCAGTCAAGAAATAATTTTTTTAGTTCAAATATTTTTATAAGTTGCAACCAAAGTCCCCCCCCACCCCCCTCTCATTTGTTTTAAAATTTAAATGGAAAATTCCAATTCTAAATCCAATTTCCAATTCTGCCCCCATTTAAATTGTATTGCGCTGATCAACTTGACAAGAATAAAACCTTTTGTCACTTATTTAATTCTTGAGGTGGGACCAAAAGGATGGGGAGGGGGGGGGGGGGGGTGCTTGGCGTAAGCTTGAGAACACAACATTTCTCAGTTTAATTACCCTTATATAACCAAAAGATATACCTGACATAGCAACACCCAATGTATGCAAAGAAATTTGAAATGGCTGAATTAAATACAATATACCTTGTCCCTATGAGGCACATCCTCCGAGTTGAATAAAATTGTTAAATGCCTGTGTTTAACATTTATTGTTTAGCATAAATTTATGTTTGTATGTAAAAGTAGTCAATTATGTGAAGTTACATTACTAACATTTTATTCACTAAACTCTTTTGTTCATGATGTGTCATTGTTTTATGATCACATGCAGAATTATGAAACTGTAACATATTTAATGAACAATTGCCAAAACAGTTGAGTTATTCTTTTTTGTGTGCTCCCACATGTGTATGTCTAGTGAGACTCACTTTCTTTTAATTTTATTTAAGAAATGGGAAAAAATGGAATCATGAGTATGTCCTCTGGATTCACATTAAGAGAAACAATATCAATATTTGCCAAAATGAATGCATGTAATTTAACATTATTTATTTAATTGTTGTCATATTTGCCTTGTGCTTCATCTGCTAATAATCTATGTATGGGCCCTTTGTAACACTTAAAAGTAATGTACATTTCAAAGCTGCCGACCATTCCTACTTGGCATGAATGATTCATGTGGTTTTGACCTTCAAATTAATGTTATGAACCTGAGATTTTTGTCTCCCACGAAAGTTGGTGATGATGCATACAAAATTCAATGAACTTGGGCGCTGTACTGCAGCAACCAGTTTACATACATAATACGTGCTATTTTTTTTCCTATTCCTAATTTTGCATTGAAAGATTTCTACCTTTGGTTTTTGTAGGGATTTGGAAGTATGGCAGGTATTACAGTTATTTCTGCATGTAACTTGAAGTCGCAGAAGTTGATTTTACCCCAAGTCAAATCATTTTTTTGACCCAACTGCAAAATTTGTTATTTTCACTTACTAAGTCAAATTTTGCATAAGTTGAATGATTTTTTGAGGTCCCAACATATTTGACTTATGCAGAGTTAATCGTTATACAGAATGTATGAATTTCTCTAACTGGGCTAGTTTCTATTGACCTTTGTAATCAAGTCTGGATGAACTGACTCTAAAAATATCATATGTTATTTAATACTCCTTTGTTTGAAAAAAATAGTGGAAGTTGTCGCTAAGTGCCAAAGCATTTATTTAATTGCAGATAATTCAATTTTTTTTTTTTTTTTACTTTCTGCCTCAACATTTGATTTCCAAATGACCTATTCATTTTAATTTAATCATTAACTTTTTCCTCCTCAGTAATTTGATGCACAACTCAGTTTATATCTCTTTACAAATTACTTATTGTGTAACAAAACAAAAAAGCATTGCAAATCCTGTATGTTTGTAGCTATTGTGATAAATTTGTGAACTCTGAATTTTGTGACAAGGGCACTAGTACATGTATGCTTTGGGCTGGTCACACACAGAACATGTAATATCCCACTTGGTATCTGGTTATATTTGGTTATATCTGGTTATAGTCCGGCAGCCAAATCCAGATTATTGGCCTAACCTTGTTTTAGGGTCTATAGTTTTTTTTTCAATGGATTTTGATTGCCTAGACCTTCTATTTCAAGAATCCGATTGCTGACACTCTGTCAGCCTTGAGCAATTTAAGATATATGACGTCATACAAAATGGCCGACAAAGTACATGATTTTCCTTTAAAAATGAATAATAAATATATAATAAGGATTTTTTCTACAATTTTTGGCAGCCAAATGTCTGTATCTCTCTAGGGCCATCACTAAAAAAATGTTTTGTGATGTTGCATGGCCATAGATGACCAGCTTATTTGCATATTTTGAAATAGCGCCCTCTATAAACATATTAATTTGAATAAAATATGTGTGCCAGCCAAATGCCAATTTCTTAAATCTATGTCAAGTTGAAATCATATTAAATGCTTTTGGGGGGCAACAATTGCAGTTGTGCTGCATTAATCTTTCATCGTGTTTGGTACATATTTAGATAGGGTAGGTGTGGGGAATGGAAGACCCTTAAGCACATTTGCATAATTTACATAAACATGAACAATGTTACACATACAGACATTTTTGTATTCTCTTTAGTATTTTTTCTCTTTATTTGGTAATGAAATTGTGGTCATGATGTAACTGATTAATAAGATAACAATGATTAATGATGTCATCACCAAAGGTCTCTCATTACCTACATGTGTAGGTAATAAGGGACAGTTACAAATCAAGACATTTTAAATACAATTTAAATGAAAATGGGATTGTTATAGTTAGTTTAAACACTTTTTGAAAGAGATACATGCAGCCAAAGAACTAACTGTAATTTTGAAACGATTTTAAAACAATGTGGCCCAAAATATTTCTGTAGTTTTTTGTTTAGTGTAATAAAGGTGCTCTCAATTATGTTAAAATACTTTCAGAATAATGTTCTGGCAATATGACTTTTACATCGATCAAACTCACAGCCTAGAAACAACTTCTTAAAATTAAATGCATTCAAATTAGAATGGTGACACGAACAACCCAATATGTTTCATGATAGTGCCTTTCAACATGAAATGGACAACTGGGGAGAAGTAGGCCCCCATCTTGGACCTGGTGTCTCCCATTACTTACACACATTTCTGATCAGACACCATTCATAATGTGAATTGCAACACCCATTCACAACACACAATGGCCATAAGCTTTCTGTGATGGTTGGCACATTTCATAAACTTCCTTTTAAAACTAATTTTTAAGAGCCACCCCTAAATATCTGCATACACCACAACATTCAGTGAAAATTGTGTTTTTATATCAGAGCAAAATTTTACGATCAATATTGCTTATCTTTGTCAATTTTGCCAATTTTCTCGGAGAGAGAACGCATTGTAGTCTTCGAAATGAATTGAATATATGTAGTGTTGTTGAAGGCCACATATGTCGCTATATCAATATTGGAGCCAACACGGACAGACAGTGATGGGTTCAAGCTTGGTGGTCTCCAATTCCCTACACCTACCCTACATATGTCAAGAAAAAAAAATGGCTATGAAAGAATTTATTTTTCATCAAATCGGTGAGAAGTGGTTTTGCGGCACACATTATTATTCAATTGATAGGCTTTATTTAGACCAGCATTAATCCAACGTCAGTGATTGTGGATAAAGCAGTTGACATCTATACTAGACAGATGCATGAAATTACCTGGTAGATTCTATGACACAATTTCCAAGCAAGTTCAAACCGTGGCAGCCATGAAGAAGTCAATGTTGGGGTACGAAAGTCTATGAAAATTTGATCTACTCCAGAGTAATAGGACTGCAGACAAGTTCAAGAGAGGTCAATGTCAAGGACATTTTGTCATAAGAGCTTTCACCAGTCCCAACAGCACTTTTTGATGATTCTGAAAACGAGCACTCCCATGTCAAAGACGGACTTATAGAATTTGACAAAAGTTGAGATGTCAGCCAGGCATGAGACACTGGAACAACCTTGTACAGTCATTGATGGTTGTGCTCTGCTATGGATGAAAATCTGATGATGTTTGCTTGGTGTTTGACAGATCCGAGAGTATCTAGAGGTCATAACGGGTCGAGAGTCTTCCAACTGAGTCCCGCGTCATCTCTTACTGTTCGTCGTCGTCATCGTTGTCATATAGATCATGACTCACCCTTGTGACCCATTTGATGAGACCTTTTGATCGGCATCTGTCTCCTGCAATCCGGTAGAGTGTCTTTAGTATTTAGAGGGTGACTAGTGATTTCCCTAAGGTCGTCAGTCCATCTGAGCTTGAGTCTTCCTTTGTTACGTGTTCCTTCAAAGGTACCTTGAATGATAATTTGTCAAGGTTGTCTCCTGATCATCTGCTAACGTGACCAAACTATTGTAGCTTGTACTTGTCAATACTGGTAGCAAGTGGCGGTTGATCTCCGATGATGGACATTAATTGTGTCCATTGGTGTTGTAATCTCTTCATGATATCCCAAGTAGCTTCCTCCAACACCACATTTCAAAGGCAGATATTGCCGAGCTTCCACCCTCCTTGACAATCATTAACCCAAGAACATTATAT